ATATGATCTATGTATATAATATATCTCCAGCCGAATGTTGGAGACCGTAACCGACAAAAATACTTCTTCCTATGTAGGTTTCCATACATGAGCAATCGATAAAACAGACAGATAGAATTATATGCATTGTAACTACAGTAGAGTCCCGATAACTCGAACCCTCGCTAACTCGGACCTCGCGCTAACTCGAACCAAAATCGATTTCCCCTGGATTTCCGTCGTACATTCACTGTAATTTTACCTTCGGTAACTCGAACCCTCGATAACTCGAACTCCCGCTAACTCGAACCAATTTTCGTTTCCCCTCAGGTCATTTTCTATATAATTTTACCCTCGATAACTCGAACCATGTTTTGAGCCCTTAAAAAGTCGGGAAAAATGCCGTCTACTGGCCTCCAAAACATTGAATTTTGGACTTCCTATTGACGTGTTGTAGGAGTATAGTTTACCAGTGGAGGCTGATATTGATTGTCACAGGCTAACGTGAAGCAGCTTTACTTCTCAAAACAGTAAAACGCATCCTCTATTTAGGCTATGGTTTGTTACGTTACGTTCTGATTATTAATCTAGAAGTATCTTTTAATTTTCACTTGACATTTCTACAATTAAATGTGATTAAAATGTTCACTGTGCAGTAAAAACTGTTTTTTACCTTACTCTCGGCTATTTTCTTCGAGCTCCCGATAACTCGAACTTTTTTCGATTTCCCTTGAAGGTTCGAGTTATCGGGGGTCGACTGTATCTCTTTATTTCCAGGTTTGGAAAATAAATCAAATAGAGTTGGAATTTCATTAATCTTGACTTTCAGTAGTTCAAGGTCGTTGTCGAGACATCGTTGAAAAAAATCCTAGCCGAATTCAGCTTCGAATCACGCTATGCAGGCGTAAAATAAACCCAAAAAATAAATCAAATTGGGCGCACTTAAAATGCGACATATGAACAGGGCCTCAGTTACAGTCTAACGGGTGTGGGCGAAGGAACACCGTCACTTTAATAACATATTTGTAACTAGTAACGAAGCTCTTTCTTCACCTTCCTATTGATCGATACCCCGGGCGGAGGCCGGTGCCAGTAAATTTTCAGTGTCCCCTAAATAGCGTATCTCAAAGTGTTCATTAGAGACGTGAATATTTCATGACGAGAACGAAATTCAATTTCAAGTTTTCTTTTTCTTTCTTTTTTTTTTGCATATTCTCAAAAAGTTTATACCCCGGAAAGCTTAATTGTACTCAAGTGTTTTCAACAGAATATTTAATTAACACAGTCAAATTTGTTGAAGAAGGTTAAGCCCTCTCCGATCGAAAAATGATAAAACTTATAATATTTGATAAATTGTTTCAATCGAGACCTTTAGCTTCGGGAACGAGAACGACTACGAATGCGAGATTTGACTCTGAATGTTTTTTCGCGTATTCTAAAAAAATAAACACCCAGGAACGCTCCAAGAACTTTTGATTCACCCGAAAAGTTAGTACTGTTATCTTTATTGAAGGAGTTAAACCCTCTCTCAAACGCAAAATGACAAAAACTCTAACATTTGCCAACTTGTTTCCGCCACTACGACATCCTTGCTAAAACTCGTAGGTGGATTGACGGCTATCGCGTTTCCTGCCAGAATGACTCTGGTTCGCGCACAAGCAATACTTTATGTATTGAGAAAATCTTGTACTCGTAGTTCTTCTCGCCGTAGAATCTAAGGACTAGTAATTTTTCCAGATTAATGCGGACAATACATATATCCATGACTAGTTCATTTCAGTGTGCGTATTGTCAATGTTTTACATGCACAAATTCAAAAGATGCGATATATTCAGACTAAAATGTACTAGTCATGGAGGTATGTACAGTGCGCATTATTTTGGAAAAATAAGCATAACGTCAAAACAGTGAATGTTGTAACGCAGATTTTTGACAGGTTCGCAGGATAGGTTTGTCTTGAAATTTTTTTAAGATGTTGCAGAGAATCAATCTTAATGAAAGTTCCAGACCTTATTATATACATTATGAAGATTATGTGAAGAGATTTTAAAAAAATTCGTTCCAGTCGTTTCAGAGATATACAAAAAAGCGCTAAAAGTCCAAATTTTGAATGAAGTCGCACTTATACAGGTGGTGAGAAAACCGGTTAGTTTTCAAGATCGCAAGAACGAAAATACACCAAAATTTCCTAGCATCAAAATATGATATTAAGCAGTATTCTGACGCTACTTAATAATAATTTGAGTCATTTATAACGTTTTTATTAAATAATCTATCACCGCTATTGAAAATTTAAGGTTTGAAATACATTTGCGTTTTAGTCGAATTCAAACATACAGAATTTTTTACTTCTTACGGAGATTGTTTGCTAAACACCGAACTTTAATTAAGTTGTTAGTGTTGAATTTTCAGTAGCTTGTCTAGATCACATAAAATCCGGCTTTTATCAATTTGAAAGTTTTTTGTTTATCGTTATCATGGTAACGTCGATTTTACTTTAAACGACATTTTCTCAAATCTCGATCCATAGCCAATTACCGGTGAAAATTTTATAGCGATCGGACAAGGAAAAAACCGCTTTTAAGGCGATTGAAAATATCGGTATGACCTCTGAAAAACTGCAGTAAAACACCTTAAATAACCGACCCAAAAAAGTCTCTATTCTTTCTAAAACCCGTGTAGAATGGCGACGGCTATCACTTTTTCCCACGAAAATGACGCCGATTCACGCGCGCGCACTACTTAGTATTTGAGCAAATATCGATCTTGTAGTGGTCCTCGTGGTAGAACCTGAAGGTTTTTATTATTCTGATTTCAATCAGATACAGTAATATATATGTCTGCAAATTAATACGAGGCAATCAGTTACTAAGTTACACTACATGGCGTGAAGACTTACTTATTCCTGGCGCAGGAGGCTTTGTAGGCTTAACCACAGAGGGACCGATTTTATCTGCACCTATGTAAAAATTAGAAAAAAAAAGTCAGATCTAAGTATAATGGACAGTTAAAAATGAAACTTGAAATGGAAAGAAAAAAGAGAGAGCATAACTGCAGTGCAATTAAGCTGATATTTGTTACAGAGGTCAACTCAAGCGATTAAAAAAGCAATGCATTTTAGCAGTAACCTTTCATGAACGTGGCTGAACTGTAAAAATGATCACCTAAATTAATACTTAACTAACAGTGCGCGTTAGTAAAGACGAAAATACCGTATTTATTCGAATAAGCGCCCAACCTCGAATTAGCGCCCATCTCGAATAAGAGCCCATCCTAAAGGCAGAAAAAGTTAATAAGCGCCCAGCCTCGAATAAGCGCCCACCCCCTCCTCCTCCCAATCAAACTCAAATAAGCGCTCACCCCCACCCCACCCACTTGAGTGAATAAATTCTAATATGATACTTCCCCGAGGACGGAGTTTTCTTCAGAGTATTTTACAGAAACCGTGCTTTGTTACTTCTTCGCGTTTTGTTATTAGCATTTATTGTTTTGTCGCAAAATAAACATACTTCAGTTGCTAAAAATGGCAAAAATTTAATAAGCGCCCAGCCTCGAATAAGCGCCCACCTCGAATAAGCGCCCACTCTCAAGGTCCACCATTCAAATTCAATCAACTTGAAAAAACGACTGCTCTCTCACCAGGTTTGTTTTTAGTTTAGAGTAGCTTGTCTGTTTTTCACAAATGCTTTTGGTGCTCATCACTAGGTTAGCTCAAAATCTTCTTTAAAAAAATAGTAAGCAATCCAGCAAAATTTCCAAATTTGATTTGTAAAAAGCTACGAAAACAGGTAGTACCAGGTAAAAGTACTATCAAAGAGTTTTCATTCAGTTGAATGGTCACATCATAAGATGTCGTCCCCCGAATCAAACAACAATTGGGATAAATCATTTATAAATTTTTGGAAAACAAAAACGTGCAAGAGATGTTTTTGTCTGACAATGAATCGTAATTGTTTTCATGGTGCAGATTACCAAGCTGTACCAAGATCTCCTTTTCTCATAATCCTCCAACAAATGCTGCATTTCTCTGATTGGTACGTCTTTTATTCCAGCGCGGCGTCCTTTGGGTAACTTTCAGTACACTGCATTTGGCAGCGTTTTATCAAGGGCAACATCAAAGCGACATCAAGTCGATGAACTGTTTTTCTCGTTGGATCGTCAGGGTCAAGCGCTTACCGTACAGGCAGCCATCTTTCTCAAATGGTGTACTGAGAGGGCAGGCGTCGGGGTTTATAGCGATGAGGGAGGGAGGGAGGCGAGAAAAATCGCTATTTTTCTTGCTTCCCCCCACAAAAAAAATCCCCCGCTACCTAAGTAGATTTGACACTCATCAGAAATGGCTGCCCGTAATGCAAAGTCTTACTTAACGATCTTACCAAAAAGGGGACTGTGAACAGTCTGGCCTGTCGAGTAATTACTATAAAACTACGGCGACCTATTTCCCTAATCTGCCGGGCTGTGAATTTCACTTACAGTTATCCGCGTTACACGTAAATCGACAGAGATCCTTGGCAATGTGTTTGGCAGCTTTTGCATAAGGAGTGGTAAGAGTAGTATACAGATACTCGCAGGTGCCCTCATCCTTGGCCCAATCACAATGGGGATGATAATCCTCGCAGTCTGCGAAATCAAATACCAAAGTATTAAAGAGTTATCAATGATATCTGCTCAGAGATAGTCTGTATGAAGGTCATATTAACCCTATCCCCGGGGGGACCTCTGGAGTCCCCCATCTATCAGACTTCAAAACCACTCATGATACGGCCACCAAAATTACACAGAATATTGCACTCATTAATTCCAACATCTGGGCATATTACTTGATTGACACAATGACGTAACTCGACTTCATCATGACATCTTGTCATTATATTATTATTTTCTGTCTTCGGAAATACCTTTTGTCGATTTTTTTTTTTTTTGCTATTAATTGGTTTCAAATTAGGGGGACTGTTTTGTATAAAATTTTCTCTTTATTAGTATTCTTTATATAAAATAGTTATCCTAATCAGCATTCAATTGCTTCCATCATCCAACCCCGTATTTCTGCTGGGGCTGAATTCAAAGCCCTCCCCCCTGACTTAGAACGAGGAGGGCGAGATCGGGAAAGTGTATCATTATTTGATTCATTCAAAATATTTCTCGCATCACCCAGCCCTTACCCACAAACTTATTCTTTATAACCAGCTAGCGTTAACCAGGTTTGAAACAGGTTTGCCGCTAACGGTACAACAACAGTTGTATAGACTACTAGACTGACATACAGTCCCTACATTTTCGTAATATTGTAAAGATCGACCACTTATTGGTATGGCCGCCATCTTGGTTTCACATGTATAGAGAAGACGGGCTTCGGGGTTTCCCTTTCACACAAAGTAGATTTGACTCTCATCCAAGATGACCACCCGTAACGTAACGCGCTCGATCTTGACGATCTTACGGAAAAATTTTAAGGAATGGCCACTAGATATGATGTCCAAATAGCGTGAGGTCAATAAAGCCATTTTTGAGCCCTCAAAAACGAGGTTTTCGCTATTTCTTGTGAAAGAAAAAATATAAAGAAGTACCAAAACCAACTAAAGGTTTTTTTTGTCACATAGTTTAAACTTCCACTTCAGGCATGAAAAATGCATCCTTACTACATTCCTTGCATACAGATGAAAATATAAAAATGAAGTTTCCGAGGTAAATTTCAAGATGGCAACCAAGGATTCGGCCGTTGTGGATGTCGTCATGATTATCATGATCGAGGTTCAAAGTAACACATATTAACATTTTACCTGGTTCACTTTTTCCTTCATCGAGCATTCGTTTTAAATGGAATTCTCTCAAATCGTTTATTGCTGAAAAAAGAAGAAATCAGGTGATCAGGAGTATGTTTTAAACCCTACTTAAGTGCCAAGAATGGCCTACATTAGCTGACATCAACTTTCGCCAAACAAAATCGATGCATCGATCGTCAAGAGAAGTTGATTAAATGATTGCCAAAAGAGGAATTCAATGATCTTTTAACAAATTCTTCTAACTAATTTTTCATGGAAATGTAAAGAGATTCGAAGAACCTGTATGAGGACATGCCTATGTTTATGACGGGATCAATTAAAGTTTCTGGGAAACTGCCCATATGCCCCTCCCCTAAGCTAACATTAACACTTACTTCTCACTTAGGGCAAAATGTTGGCTTAGGGGAGGGGTAGGTGGGCAGTTTCCCAGAAGCCTAAATTGCTCCAGTTCCAGCATACCACCGATGGTCCTGGGATTTGTGACTTGTGACTGTGTTCACATTATACCAGATAGCATTTGCGCCAGCAGAAAAATCAAACCGTATGGAACTTCTGTTCACACGTAATGAACGGTGATTTTGGGCGCGATTTCTGTAAGCGATTTTATATGAAAAAGTCATCTCAATAAAGATTATTATTATTATTTTAAGAATATATTTTATTTGGCGTTCTAATCTAAGTTAAATGATGACAGGTCTGACAACGGGTGTGGAAAGTGACATTTTTTGGTCTGAAATAGGGTTAGGATTTGGAGAACCGGGCGGTACACTCCCACCAGGAATTAGTTATGAGTACCCCCCCGAACCTTTAGCAGTAGATTACCAAAAAAGTCTTTAATTACGAGAAGTTAATTAAAAATCCTACCTTTCAGCAATCTGGTATCATATAAAGGGTGTGAGCTGAACATAGGTTGATCAGACTGCCTAAATCGATTCAGTTCTGCAAAGTTAAAATCATGTATTAAAAACAATTTATGAGTTGGGGGCTGGAGGGGAGCTTATTTAGTACATTAAATACCGGCATAAAGGCTAGAAACTCTGCAGAAACGAAACTGCTACGCTCTATATTTGACCATGAGTTGTCTAAGCTTTTCTTTTCTTTTTCACTTGGTTATCCCTGAAAGTTTTGTCATTTATTTTTCCTCAGAGTTATAAACGCTTATGTGATCTACCCTTTCCGAGTACGTCGCTCAATAGTTCCGTCAAAATCACTTCAATCTACGCTAACACGAGGTCGCCTACAGTAAGCAAGTGACTCAAACAAGTAAATTACGAAGAGAAGATGAGGAGGGCGACAACGAGGACCAGGCTAGATTTGATCTTTTAAAAATAACCTTTTTAGCGTTTTATTTCGTTTTCTCCAAAAATAGTTCCCCAGGAAAGCTTCATTTTACTCCCCACAGTGGGGAGGAGCGTTGCGTGACGACACTAAAAACGGCTGTGTAGCAGACTATTCTGTCCCCGGCTTCCGTCAAAGCGACATTTTCGTGGCAACTAGTAATGAAGACAGTTATCACGTTCCCGCCAAATGACGCTAGTTCACGCGCGCACTTCTGAAGTATTGAGATTCGTCTTAATATAATCTAATTAAATTTTTCTAATTATTTAACCTTACCTTCATACTTTCTGGCATCATACATACGGTTTGAGCTGAACATAGGTTGATCAGATTGCCTTAATCGATTCAGTTCTGCAAGTTAAAATTCATGTACTCTAAATTGTCTTGATGCGTCTTATATCAAGCACGCGCTTGGGTACACGCGAAAGAATATCAGTCCTTTTAACCTTTGTGACCTTAAAATCTGATCATGAACCATTTGTCTAAATTACAGCACATTGCAGCGTGATGGCGGAACTTTTTTTATATCTTTTTTAATTCCCCGAACGGCCAAGTAGTACGACGTTAGGCTGTACTGAAGAGAACGTACAACGCTCGAATACACACGCGCCGTCGGATTTAAGTGAATATTTCGTGAGCTAAAGTTTGGAACAATAGAATTCAGAGGAAGCTTTTTCTTTTTACATAGTTATCGCTCAAAGTTTTGCCTATATTCCTTTTTTCTTATACTAACACCGCAGTCTTAGCAGTTTGTTTCATGATCGGCACAACTACTGTTCACAGTTACACTTTCTAACGATTTTCCTTGCTCGCAAAAATACAATCACCAATTGAAGGTTGTTTACCCAAGATTCTGCCATTAGAAAATTACGAGAAAACGCTCTCGCTGTTGATTCATAGTTGACGCCGTGATAAACCTAATAAATATACTTGTTTGCTTAGACTGTTATGATATAGGGGTACCTCTTTCTCTGAGTCTCTCTCTGAGAACATCTCGCAGGGTGTAGCTTTGTACTTCGACAAAGACCAAAAGCGCAAGACAGGCGATAAGGAGTGCTCTGTCCATCGTCCAAGGAATTTTCTTGCCAAACGCTCAAGAAAAAGACGCTACTTGTGAATTGAAGACCTTAGCGTCGCTGGATCTGAATGTAGACAATGTGGTACTGTCTATTTTATATGGCTATCATGTTGATTGACAGTTAGCGAACGCGACCGGATCTAACCTAAAACCTGAACAATCATTTGTAGTATATATTACGCGACGCTCACCAAGTGGCTGGCTGCCAAATTTTTTCCGTTTTTATTGAAAGAATCTCGCCGCTTTTGTTTGTCTCCACAAACCGTATTGTGAAAGAAAACGTGCGTTTCGTAGCGCGATTTATGAGTGGCACCCATTCTCAAAGGTGATTTGGAGGGTGGGTCGCAATGCAGAAATTCTTTATCTACTTTGAGGCGTTTCTGGAAGTCCTCTCCCCTGCACAAGCCTCATTGTTATGATATTTATTCCAGCAGTTTACAACTTAAATGACAGTTAAATGAAATTCTTTGCAATCGATTTTTTTGTTTTTATTAGGCAGATCGTATCAAGAAAAATCGATAGACCAGGTGTATGTTAAACTATCAACTTTTACCGTATTTTACTGTCAAAATCTGTTTGTTTTTTTCTTCACGCACTTGAGCTGATGGGAACCATTGAAGTATTACTTTCACATAGTTAAAATCCCTGTTGAAAATTCTATGAAATGTTAGGCATGGTGTATTTTAAAGGACTAGATTTCTTTTTTCACAATCTGAACGCTGTTCTCTGAGACATTGTCTGGTGCATTGTTTATACGGGCACAGCCCCGAACGTATACATCAAAGAAACAAAGCTGAAGCACGTCATATAATTGTTAGTCAGACATTTTGAGGGAAAGGGATGTTGTTTCAAAGAGAACTCAAAAGGAATAAAGGAGGCTTGTAAATTACATGAATTCTTTAAATTGAGAGTATTTTCTAGAATAGAATAGTTAAGTTTTCTTTGGTGTAATGCGTTTTAATTCAGTATAACATATTTTTTAAGCGCCTCAAAAGGTCAAGAACTCTAGCTATCGTAGCAGGAGACATTCCTTTTTTAGCTCTTACAGACGTAAGCGAGCAACACAGATATGCTTCACGGTGTTAAACTGATTTTCAAATATCTGCGCGCACAAACGTGAACTCGAGGTTAACAGCAGAGATCTTAATTGGACATCATAAAATCAGCAATTTGGATACATTAACCGAGTGCCACTATCATTGCGTGGCGAGTGAAATAAGGCTCTGAGGTTTTGACCTTTTGTAATTCAAAAGCAACAGATACAGTACCGCCTGGTTTTGTTCGCTCGGTTGCCAAAATTATTATCTCAGTCACTAGAGCATTTTACAATTGTTAGCCAGTAGAATTTCTTTCTTTCTTTGTTGTCGTTGTTTTTTTTGTCAAAATTAATCACCCGTGTGTGGTTGCCTTAGAAACATTGTAGACAAAAATAGGCTGAAGATGGTTTGTTTTGTTTTGTAAAAGGCTTACGTTTAATTTTGATTGGGTTTATGTTATCTCTGTTTTTCGTACCTCTGCGTGGGCAGAAAGAATGGGACGCGAAAACAAAAAAACAAAGCGTCCGCGTCCACAACGCCGGGTATACTGTTTCAAAAGCATGTGCTGTGTGAAGATTCAAAAACAAATGATCAAATCAAGTGGTTTACCGAGAGAGACGCCTTTTCTTAAAGCGCAAAAAGGCAGAACTTGCTTCCTATTGACCGATTAAATTCGCTATTATCGCTGATACAATAACGTTTTTGCTAAATGATACGAAAACATGCCACTCCCTTTATTTTAGGATGACTCAAAGGTCACGCTATACTCGACTAGGATATCATGCGATTGAGCATCGACAACCAAGGATAGGCCTATAAGGTCGCGGTGCAGCGCTCTACCGATTAAGCTAACAAGCCAACTGGGAGCAGGTCGATCCTGTTCACTCAAAGCTAATCATTCAAGACATTCGACCGTGTGTACACCTTGCTAGTACCAAGATGTCAACACAAGTTCGTTTACAAACTGATGCAGTTGCGTTTACACCGGCCGGAAAGATGTTTTCCGTAAGTCGTTGACGAAACTAAATGGACTCGTCTGAACATAGCCTCTTTGTATTCAGAGTCTGTGGACGAAATCCTAAATAAACTGTGGTCATTCAAATCGAAAACATCTTCAGCAACAATTTCATATAAAACGTCTGAGACTCTGTAGAGCTTCCGACAAAATCGAAGTTGCGACGATCGCTATTTTATTGTCTTAAATGATTAAGCGAGGATCCGACAAGATTAAACAACTATTAAGAAACGATCTCATTGGATTGCCATTCTAATCAACTTACATAATCAACCAGAAAGTGTGATTCACGTTCAGAGTTTTAAACCTTGCTTTTTTTTTTGGGGGCAATTTTCATGTTTTCGCGCCTTCGTGGCCGAAGCAGTTCAAGCTCCACGCAAATTGCAAAATGATGCTTGGATATTTTCTTTAAACGCTCTCAAGGTCGAAATTGAAATTGAAAGGGCAACCTTGCTTTTAAAATAGCAGCCTTGGCCAAGATGAATTTCTACATGTCGGCTTTAATTAATTTAGAGTGGTCGGAAATATCCAACTTCCTGAATAAGCAAATTCAAAACATAATTTGGAAGAAAGGGACTTCTAAAAGTCTAGAAAATAACCGTGGTACTACAGTTTTCCATTACCACATGTAGAATTTTTAACAGACAAATAGGTTGTTAACTAGATAAGCAAAATAAATAGTGGGTTAGGACCAAATAACAGCCAAACATTTCTTGTTAAAGGTTAGAATTTAAGAGAAGTGAAGGAATGTATGATCATCTTAAATTTCGAGCATGAAATTGCAGCGGCTTGTTTGAAAGCCTGACATTACTTCACTTGATAACGCCCAAATATCACAAATACCAACCTAGCTACCGATTGCCCTTTTAAAAAAAATACGTGCTTGATCTATAAAAGGACATATCTATAATTTATAATGTCCGGTTTTCTAATTAGCAAAGTATGTGTTTCGGCTCGTAACAGAATTGAAATTCAAGAGACACAAAAACGGCGTCATCATAGGATGATTACAGAAATGGGCTTCTAACGAAGCTGTCCAGTTTAAAAAATGCCTATAATCCTTTAACCAAATTTTGCTTTATTGCCCACAACTAAGTGCTGGATACAGACCTTGAGATAAGCAGGGGGCGGTCATTCAGATCCTGAGACACGGGGGGGGGGGAGTCTCCAAAATCTTTTTCGGCCCCTCGGACCTCAGTTTGGTCTAAAAATAAGGGGGAACTGAGGCCGAGCCCCCCCCTAGGCCCCGCCCTGCAAGATCCGCCATAAGGACCATAAATAAATGGTTGGGTAGGGGGGAGGGGGGAGAGGTAGAACAGTTAATGACATGGAACTTCATTGATAAGTCACCTTTCCTTAACTCACTGAAAGGAAAAAAAAAAACGGTTTGAAAACAGGTTCAAACGTTGCTTCAGGGGGTACCGGGAGGGGTTGGATGGGTTAAATATAAATTTAGCCATACAAGAAAAAATGTCTTCAGTGGAAACTAGTCCTTATTAAATGGGATAAAGGTAAAATATCACCTTTAAAACAGAAAAGAAATAAACGATGAACAACATCTAAATAGTACCATGTCCAGTAGAAACGAAGAAATAAAATTCATAAAACAAAAGAAATGAAATGCATAACATCAATAGTACCATACACTGCTACACAAAAGCCTAAGTTCAAAAATTCAAAACGTAAGTTAAATGTAAATGTATTATAAAACTGTGTTTATTGAATACATACAATGACTGACGCTGATAACATAGGGAGGTTAGGTTGTAAGGTTCAGCTCTCGGCCGAACCGACGAATACTGCCAAGATGCCGCTCTTGCCTTTGTCCCATAGTACTGCAAATCGCTCTAGATTTCTCGGATAACGACGGTAATTTAGGCCCTCTCTCCTAGGCTACAAAATCTTGAAAAAATGGCTTAAAAATAAAAAATTTCTAAAAAATCTCTAGTCTCATCTCTAAAAATTCCATCAAATTCCTAAAGTTCTCTAAAAAATCTCTTAATGTTAAAAACACCGGGTGGTATTAGCCGAAAATCCTATGCTAAGGCCTGAACTAACAGTGATACAAGGAATGCTGGATTTAAGGGGATTAAAACCTCTAACTGTTACGGCGAGAGAATTCAGAATCCTTCAGGTTTTTGTGACGAAAAAAAAAAAATTGAATTATTCCAAGTTTCAGGCTTTTTTGGCAAAATATTAACATAAAACCTTGACTGAAATATTCTCCAGGCAGCACTTTATCAAGGGGCAAGTTGTGTTGTATCGCGTTTTTCCATCTCTTCTATTTGGCCAATGAAAGGGAATCTTGATTCCGGAATCCGCGAAATTTTTGCTCGTGGAATCCGTAACTCGCGGGGAAAACTTTGCTTGTGGGATCCGGAATCCTGGGCTTTGGAATCCCGAAAACAACTCAAGAAATCCGAATCCCTCAACGATTGGAATCCGAAATCCAAGTTCCACTGACAAAGACTGGAATCCAATGCCTGGAATCCAAAATCCCCGGCGTGGAATCCAGAGTCCAAGACTTGCTTGGATTCCCTTACCATGTGGCGATTCCCAGGTCTATAAGCTAAATATACCAAACAGAAACAGTGTTTCATATTATGTCAAAAAAATCAACGTCTTCTATTGTCACGTAACAATTGGAATTTGTGGAAGTGTCATACTCCACTTGTCCCATACCATTCACTGTTACCGCTTCTGAGAAGTAGCAACGCCATCTCTTAGAGCGATCAGATGGTTCGCCATCAAACAAGGCATACACGGGAGCAGTGCAACCAGCTTTTGTCTTACTTTGGCAATACTCGTTTCTTTCTTCTGCGGCTATTTCATCTGCAACAAAGTGGCAACAGAGGCGAATCTTGTTAGAAAAAACTGAAACCTCGCCACTGACAATGTCACTTCCGTTCTTGATTCTCGGGGTTCTTTGTATGTTAATGGACATTAACCGGATCAAGTTTGTTTGTTTGTTTTTTTTTATCTGCTATAAAAAGTGAAGGTTTCGGGCTATGCATAATAAAATACAAGAGTGAATAATGAGACAAAGATGGAATCTTAGGGCGTTGGCCGGGATATGTGAATTTCACTTTTATAAGTTATTTTTAGAGATTGAAATTAAACGGAAGTCTAATTCCTGAGACGTCCGCAGATTTAAATCACTTTTTTGGAACGTCACGCGCCCAGGCCCACCCGCGACTGCCTCAAATCGAAAAATACATAATACTGTAATAACGAATGGTGAATTCTCTCTTGAAAACACTGAATAAACGTTATAATTAGCAGACTTAACTTCCGATTAATTTCAAGCATCTAATTGGTCTAAAGATAACTTTGATGAAATTCGCTTATCCCAAGGGATAGACTGGGCGTTTCGCTCTCCGTCCATTATTATTCTCTCTCGTCAAACTTTATCAATCAAGACTAGGACTGAAATGCACCACTCACTAAATATAACAATCAGGACGCTGTTAAAGTGAACAGCCTTTTATAAACGATATATCAAACAACAGTGGACGAATAAGGGAAACGAAACTTCGTGATCAAAAACAAACCATTGCGAGACAAACCATAAACAAAACTGTCAGACAGTATAAACACTTTGTAAATGAACCAGGGTTCATTTCTCAGTAAACGTAGGTTATGTACGTTCACACTATGCTGGACAGCTGATCGTGGCGTAGCCTGTGGCGAAGAGCGAGGAGAAACGGATGTTTTCGCAGGCTAATCGTTGCGCCACCAAAGGCTATCCACAATAGTGTGAACACCTATCTGATATGTGACTCTCCGCTTTAGAGATTGGCGCTGCGCAGCTTCGCTTTGTCGCAAAAACTGCGCCGCCACAACCATGCGAACAGAAGCACTGTCCGGTATGATTTTCGTGGGACGCAAAAGCTAACCTGTGTGGTATGAGCAAAGTCTTAGGCTAAGTTCACTTTCTACCGGATAGCTTTTTGTGCCGCCACAAGCTCAACCGGTATAGTATCAGGGCTGGCCAACGAGAATATAGTTCAAAACCACTTAAACATAGCATTGTTAAACGTATTTTAGTATTTAAGCGGTAGATATGGGCATATTTTTATCCCCTAAAAATTTTTCATCTGTTCGGATTTCCTAGCTGAAAGTCTAGTGATCAGAAAATTATAGGGATCAAAACTTACATTTTCGAAAGTTTCAGCCAGAAAAAGGGCTCCCGAAAATTCCAGGTGATCTTTTTAGGGTAAAAATCCGTTAAAAATTTGCAATTATACCATTTTTTTAGATGTTCGAAGATCCCAGGAGAAGCAGGCAAGTTAGAAATTTTACAACAAATGCTCCGAAAATTCTAGATCTCAAATCGTCTTCCTATCAGATATTTTCCGAAAATTTACGTTGGGTGCCCCTGTAGTATGAACACCTATCGTCTATGTGACTCTCCATTTTAGAGATCGACGCGGCGCAGTTTCGCTCCGCTACAGAAATCGCGCCGAAATCACAATTCTTATGTATGAATAGAAGCCCTCCGGTATGATTTTCGTGCCGGCGCCAAAGATATTCGGTACAGGCCAACGGATCGGTGGATTTTGAAAATGTTTTTACCCTGATTTCGGACTTAAAGCGAGATTTTAACGGATTTTCAGATCCTGGAATTGCAGTAGATTGCGGATTCATCCATTTTTTTGGCCCGGAGTTTGGACTTTGCGTGTAATAAAAATATTTTTGCCTGATCGGCAGATGTAAACATAGCCTTAAACCTCATTAAACGCTTAAGTGTAAACGCAGCATAAACGTGTTTACTGACTTAGTGTAAATGATACATTCAAGCTTTTCGATCTGCTCTTGCAGGCTTGCAATACCATGTGGCCCCGTTATCCTCAGAGCAAAATGTATGATATACTAGTAAAAGCAGCTGATTGTGTTGACCATGCAAATGTCTGTGTATCTAGCTAGTATAAATAGACCAATATTAGCTATGATCAGGAGCTTGTAGTCTCAAACGTCATCCGTCTCTTAACCCCCCTCTCCCCCTCCCTCCCTCATTCACCCTCTTTCGAGGGGCGGTTACCTACCTGGTAAAATACACTCTGCTGGGGTTGCCTTAGTAATGCTTCCCGCCATTGTAGCTTGGGATAGCGTCATCCAGTGTAGCCAGTTTCCACCGGTAGCATCGCAACCGCGGTACATTGCAGTAATAACGCGATCATCTTGATCGAGCTTTTTTGTCCAAAAATTTAGATGGCTTATTTCACCCATGAAATATTCGCCTGATTTGAACTCAGATGCGGACGAGTGTCTTACTCCCAGCAATATCTTGCCACCTGACGAAATTTCCTGGCAAAGTTATATAATAAGTGTGCGTTATTGTATAGGTCGGAAAGTTGGGACATTAACCACTGCACGGGAAAAAACATCTTGATGGCTGGCTGCTAAACAAGGCTTCTACGTGCTGCTTTAAACTTAAGCTGGAAAGATCATCTATCTAACAAGTAACTCTACGGGGACCTGCCTCCAGTTTCTCCAAGGCTCCAGATACTTCGGCTGTAGTTTAGTGGCCACTGTTGGAGAAGCAAGTATGAGACTGTTTCCTAACTACTTCTCTGGGAACCAAACACGGCAGACGCTCAAGGGGACGCCCAGCAACACCATTCATCGACCAATTAGAGAGTGACACCGGTCTTACGAGGCAGGATCTTGCATCTGTCATGGCCAACAGAGGGAAATCGGTGCGGGTGCGCCCGAAAACGATAGATAGATTTACAAAGCGCGAGGTCGAGTGGTGTGAATTGCGGCTGGATTTGGTAGCGTTCTTTTAATGCTTGCGTATTTACGGACGTAGACTCGCTCCACAAAAACGCAAAACGGTCTAAGCCGAACAAACTGGGTCAATAGAGGATCTATTATTTGGCTAAAAATATTCAATTTTCTAGCGAGCACAAAGCGGCCACACTTGCAAGAAGGAAGCCAATCAGTACACAGTTGGGTTCGCTTCATCTTCATTCTCGAAAATGATATCAACCCTCGACATAGCCTCGCAGGGTCTGGAAGGGTATTGACGGGATACGGGAATTAACCGAAACACGGTGCGGGATTCTGGAAAACGTAAAATTTCTTGATAGGATAAGGGATTCAAACGCTACTCGGGAATCGGGATTCGCTAAAATCTTGACATGGGATGCGATATTGGGAAAGGAAACGGTACTCGGGATAGAGATGACAGAAGTTCGAGATACGGGATAGTGGTGAAAAAGGCGCTGGAATGAGGGATAAGGACCCCCCTTCCCCTACACACACCCGCACCCTTCCAAAAACTGGTCTCAGGGTAGCACAACTGTATGGAATTTTCCCAACACCCTCCCACGTTTATACGGGGCTATAGACTGAAGCAGCTGACAAAACGTTTTCTATTACTAAAAGACTTTTCTGTTTACATTACAGTTGTAGAAGGCCTAAATGTAATAAACGACCCTAAATGTAATAAATAAAGTCCTAAATGTGATAACATTTTGTCATAAATGTAATAAAGTCCTAAATGCAACAACAACTTGCCCTAAATGTGATAAACTCTCAAGTTGCCAATTACAGTTATGCTCGAATAAGTGTCGCCCTCAAATAAGCGCCGCATTTAAGGCGGGAGTTAATTAGTATTCGTGTAAATACGGTAGTAAGCGCTATTACTATGGTATCAAGCACCGCTCTCGAATAAGCACCGCATTTTTTAAGAAAAAAGTTAATAAGCACCGCGGCGCTAATTCGCGTAAATTCGATACATTTCCTTACGCACTGTGAAACTTAACGTTTACAAATAAATTGCTTGTAAACAACAAAGTAACAGTATTTTTCTAAAAAAGCAATATTTATTTCGAGACAGTTATGCAAACCGTCGACTTCGTCTCGGGTTTGCATAACTGTCAAGAATTCTCCCATCCCCTCGAGTGTTTATATCAGGCTATGCAAACACAGGAAAAAAGTTTTCTATTGCTTTCACAAAATAACTTTCCCGAGAAAAAGGAAAAAGTCTTTGTTTAGGTTACTGATTAAAAGAAAAATTCTCACCAGTCGCGAAGTCTTGTACACGAAGCTTAATGTACGTGTAATCAGTTCTTGTTTTGCAATAAAGATGCTTTCCAAAAAGGGTTTTTCTCGCTTAAAATGTCAGCTTAAGCGAAAAAAATTGGCACAGCTTGTTTGGAAAGATTTTCCAAGTTTCAACCGACGAGGGAATGGGTAAATAAAGTAAATTTGTCGAGTTTTCAACTGTGTGATTAGCGCGCGAAGAGCAAAAACTCTTGACTCCACACATGTTTACATGCTCTCATGCAAACACATCTCTCGGCCAATCAGAGCACGCGCGTACTGTCTTAGTTATTTATAAACGTTGTTATCAGCTGTACAGTAGTCTTAGGGCCTGTTTACATGGAGGGGGGGCACCCCAGATAGGTGAGGTAACATGCCGCACGTCACCCCACCTATCACGTAAACGTGATCAAATTAAAATGAGAGATTATGTGGACAGGCGGGCTACCCACCAAAGCGAGTTACCTCATCTGCCTTGGGTCCCCCACCTCCATGTAAACAGGCCCTTAGACTTCTCGTTTTTAGTTCTTAATATTTTAGCTGCATGATTACATCTCTTTTCTAGAGATCCAACGTTGACAAGCAACACGATCTTCGTCCACGGTTTTTGCAGTAAATTTCCTTAACAAAAATGAAGTATGAAAAACGTTTTAAGGATTAAAGTTTTTTTGTTAATATTTTGTCCCTTTACAAGCAATTTATTTGTAAACGTCAAGTTACACAGTGCATAAGGAAATGTACCGAAGCTTATTAAATTTTTTCTCCCAAAATGCGGTGCTTATTTGAGGGTGGCGCTTAAAACCATGGTAATACCTCTTAGTACCGTTTTTCCGCGAATAAGCGCCGCGGCGCTTATTAAATCCCCAAATGCTGTGCTTATTTGAGTACCGTATTTATTCGAATAAGCGCCCAACCTCGAATTAGCGCCCACCTCGAATAAGCGCCCATCCTAAAGGCAGAAAAAGTTAATAAGCGCCCAGCCTCGAATAAGCGCCCACCTCGAATAAGCGCCCACTCTCAAGGTCCAAAAATTTAATAAGCGCCCAGGGCGGTTAATCGAATAAATACGGTAATTACTGTAATTTGCAACTTAAGAGTTTATCACAGTTAGGACAAAATGTTATTACATTTAGTACTTTATTACATTTAGGGTCTTTTATTACATTTAGGCCTTCTACATCCTGTGTACTGTACCTGACCAACCGCCAGGTTCTCATATCCAGATTTCTCGGCTACTCCATTGAAAAAAAGCTGCCAATTTCCTCCATTTCCCCATGTAAAACAGACATGTTGCCAGCCAGTTAGCGATAGAAAACCGCTATAGCTAACAGTCCTAATCATCAAAATACAATTAAATGATTATTAAGTTATGAATATATGAAAATCATATATGAAAACTGCGGGGTGAAGAAATTATATGAAAGAAGATCATCGCAGTTATAGACGCAACTTTTGCAGTTGCGAAAAGAGAACCTGAAAAAATTCAGGCTTGTACGGGATTCGAACACTTGACCCCTGCGATAACGGTGCAGCGCTCTACCAATTGAGCTCACAAGCCATCGCCAAACATGGGAGCAGGTCGTTGAATTGGTTCGTTATAAACCCGTGAAAGGATATCGATGATGACCGCAGTTGTCTTAAGTGTGTCACATCTTAATTATCTGCCTATTTCGCGTTGCCGATAAGTAGATCGTTTTCAATTGAGGTCACGCCGGCGAAAATGGTGTTCTAAAACAATAAAACCGCGGCCATGTTGGTGTACCAAGCCAATCCTCTGCAGTGGGAGTTAAACTCTTTTCTTATGTAAGCGCTCTCCTTTTTTCTAGAAAAAATTGCATATTGCATTGTAGGCCACATGAATGAAAACGCTCTACACACTTCTATACGCTTTCTCGTGTCCTTGGGTTCACCCTAAGTCTTCATTTTATTTGGTCGATTACTAAAGGATGTTGTCATTTTGAGCCGTTTGGTTTGAAAAAATTTTGCTCGTTATATTTTGAAATCGTTTCCTTTAAGAAACACGAAGGCGTATAAAAGTTTTCTCTATCACATGCATATCAATAACAACTTTTTTCTTCAAATAGTACTAAAAAAGTAAATAAATAATAGTAAGAGATACTTAAGAAGTATGTTCAGTTCATTTGGACAATGAGATTGGTTAGCAGACCGAGTACAATTCTCAGAAGCCAGTCCTAAAACACTGGACTATTAATCCAATTCGAATTCTTCGCTGCTGCTGAATAGAAGCCCTGAAGTCTCACTTATACAGGGCTGGTTAGCCTCGACCTAAAGTAAAATATTCACAAATACCGGCGAGAAGGTGCCTGAATTTGAGTTCAAAACAGTAAACACAGTTGTACACAGGTCTTCTCCTGAGAGGAATTTGTGAATATACTTACCTCCATTTGGTCGGAACAAGTTCGAACCCAATCTCCTGGCTTTAAAAAGAAGGGAGGGAATCTCGTAGAGGTTTTAATTGGGTGGCTGAAATTGTTTAGGATGGGTAGCCAAAGTTAAATACTTTGTGCTGACCCCATTTGATCTCCCTAATTATTGTTAAAAGAAAATGGGTGTGATACTGATCGTGGATGCCTGCATGGTGTTATAATAAAACTGGCATTTACTTAATTTCTCATAGGATAAGAGTTAGTGTATTACAAATACAGCTAACTCCTGACAGATGAAGCTTTACTTATACTCACTTCCACTGATTGCTGACAGCAAAAGAAAATGAAGCTGTATCAGTGGCAGTTAACGTCAGCGCGTTGAGGGAGTCCGATGTTTTATAGTTGAACAACGCCATGGGTGAAGCTTGAGCAACTTTAACCCACACACATGCTGTTATCTTCTTTATACTCAGGCCAGATGCTGCACTTGTCAGCTCAACATAGTTGTCAACGCTTCGAGTTGGAAAGACGAATTTGAAATCCGGCATAGTTTCTAATAAGAAATATTAACATGAAGAGTTTCTCGTTAAAGGAGATTACCTGAAAACATTTCACAGCCGAAACTCTTTTAACGGCCTATATATTTTCATTGTCTCGGGGGACGGTTCCTGCATTGACTATTCTTTTACAACCTTTTTTAGAACGGCTTCCTAGACCTCCACAAATTAGGCAATGGCAGCAAGCTATAATAACTTTCAACTTGCACAAGGCTCTTTATATGGCTATAGCCTTTCCATTGATTTAAGGAGAATTTATGTTTTAATGAGGCCATTTCCGAGTTCGCCAGGGCCTCTGTTTCAAAACGAGGGTAGGTGCTCAGCCTTTGATATGGAGATCATTTCGCATTCTCATGCAAATAAAAGTCATTTTCACAAGAAAGGTTGTGCGCCTAACCTCATTTTGAAAGTGAGGGTTTTTGGAACTCGGAAGTGGCCTATTATCTTACGTTTTGGAGGATTTTCTTCGACGGGTACCAATCCTACTTCGCCATGGTGTTGAGCCTTGACGATCTCACTCCAGGCCACCAGGTTACCTTTCTCTGTACCAAATCCCGTTGCCATGTCAACCAACGAAAATGGAGGTAACACATAATTCCACATGTTCACGTGACTCATTAGCCCCGCAAATGACTGCTTTGCGTCAAACGCACCTCCAATTGCGTCCTGTTCCTGGCCAAATACCAAAGCCCCACCGCCTTTGATAATATAAGAGTCGCGCCAGCCCGAAAGTTCTCGTTTGAATAAACCATCGATAAAACCTTTGATCACTCCTCCACTATTTGTCCACGTGATGCAAACTTGATGCCAATGTTGTACGTCGAGAAAGGGAGCAGAAATGATTCTTCTATACAAAGCCACAAAATATTTGGATCAATGTAGGTTTCTGGGAAACTGCCCACCTACCCCTCCCCTAAGCCAACATTTTGCCCTAAGTGAGAATTAAGTGTTAATGTTGGCTTAGGGGAGGGGTAGGTGGGCAGTTTCCAGGAAACCTAAATTGATCCAATACAGTTGAACCTCCAGTAAGCGATCACCCAAATCCACAGATTTAGTGGTCGCTTGCGGGAAGTGGACACTTATGAGAAGAGGTACCGACACATCTACTTTATGGAGAGAATGTATTGCTTGCAATTTGTATGTAACAATATACGTAAATCCACGTTGTTTCCACACGTTCTTTTCATACTCTGAGAAGAGCAGTACGAACAGTGAACACAATGATCGGACCACTGTATCAAGTGGTCCCTTAGAAGACGTTAAAAACAATGGAAAAATTATGAAGCAGGTATCTTAAAAAGTGGTCGAGGGCGGGACTTTAGATAGGTGGTCTTTTACAAGAGGTTACAACTATTTTAAACTTAGTAAAATCCAACTAGTGGTCTATTATCAATGCTGCGTTCTGATTGGTTTAGTCTGCTACACAGCCGTTTTTAGAGTCGTCACGCAACGCTCCTCCCCACAAACGGCTGCTGAAAACCGCACTACATTCCTTTCCCTTTGTGTTTGTGGTCTAACGAACAAGCCAATCATGTATAAGAAATTTGAAACTAGTACCTGGGCTCGCCGATTTTCTTTTTCACCCTGTCCACTTGGAATCCTGTTGGCAGGATCTCTCTAGCTAGCTGGGCTAACGCAAACTCCTTCCCAGGGCTTCTCAAGAGAAGATGGAGAGGAAAATGAGAGACCTCCGCCGGCCTGGCCCAACGCGTTTTTTCATGTGGCTTACTGGTTCTAAAAACCGGTTCCGTTAAAAGTGGAACGCGTGTGCCTTGTTGAGACACACGCTGGAAATTTCTAAGTCCAAAGTTGTTATCAGAGGGTCTCCAATAAGTTTTTTGGGATGCGGGATTTCCCTTATCTGAGGCTCGGGATTCGGGATTTTAAAGCGAAATCGGGGCGAGATTCGGGATTGAAAGTATGCGCGGGAGGTGGGATGCTAAAAGTAACCCTCGGGATTACGGGATTGCCCGAAATTTTGGGTCGGGATCACGGGATAGAAAAACCCTATTGGGGACCCTCTTATCACGCAAGATGGTTATGTAAGCTGCACAATGTCTTACTTACCGATTATCATTATTAATGTACACCATCACTCCTGTTTCTTTTCTGAAGACAATAACTATTTGGTTGTTATGATCGCTGTTGGCATAACTGAGCAGGGTAGCAAACTGATCCATTGAGTCTGGTCTGAGTCTGAGTCTGGTCCATGAACACAACGTAAAGTGCTGGATGTCCGGTAGCGACCCAGGATAGAGAATGTAATTCATATCTGATAGGCTGGTAAAATTCAACGAAACGAAGGAAGAGTGGTCTTGAAGCAAAAACAAAAAGAAAGAACAAGAGGACAGTTCATAACATTACCATAACGTACGATTATTTTAACATGAGGAACGTTTTGTTAAGTGAAGGAGCTGTATTCACAAGCTTTATCTATATATGCAAAGGCTATGTCTATTTAGTAAAATCCAACTAGTGGTCTATTACCAATGCGTTCTGATTGGTTGAGCTACTATACAAGGCTATATGTTATAGCCCACTAGTAGCGAAAAGCGCCGGCTTTGAAAACCAAAACAATGGCGGGTGAATCGCGTTTTGCTAGCTAAAGTTGTTTTGTCTCGATATTTTTTACAAACTAGTTGGATGTTACTGAAACAATTATTCCTCTCGCCCTCATGGCCTCTGAGTCAATAGCCCGGGCTCGAGGAATAATTGTTAAATATACACCAATAGATTTGTTATTCCAGTTGGTGACGTCGTGAAAGTTTCGACACCATTCACAATCGATACTGAGTTTCGAAACAGTGGAATGGGAGACAGCGAAAAAAACAAAACAAAACAAAACCAAAAAAAAAAACGAACACAAACAAAATTAGTAGGGAAACGATTCCAACTCATCCTCTTTTCCGGCGGGATCATTACGATCCATAGGCCAAGTTTTATTGGGATAGTTAGCAGAGGAGACCCCATGCAGGAGAGTGCTCAAGAAAGGTTTTTAACAAGGGAGGTCCAACCCCTTACTCGTTTATATGCCATTAGGGATCTTACGATCCGGCAACGACGACGTCCATGAAAACGCATGAATCATTTTAAACTTTTTCGCGATTATCCCAATTCGCCCTGTTGCTTAAAGGAAGGGGATTTTGGCTGGAGCTGAAGAGAGGGGAACGCGCTCAAGTTCGGACAGAGATGGTAGAACTTATCGCCTTGCCGTTCCCGTTCCCAAGTAAACTTAAGATTTGGTCATTTCACGTCGTAGTTGTGCAGTCACTCCAGTGAAGGCAAAGAAATGTACAAAAAAGCGTGATGCACGTGCAGAGAGTTGTTTTGCGTATTAAACCTTAAGACGTCTCCTCAAAAAGCAGTGAGAAAAGGCGGCTCAGTGTCTTTGTAGGTTGATTTTTTAATTCAATACTTGGTTCTATTTTTCCTACACAGGCCTTCGACATTCGGTAAAGTCTTACGTAGTCACGAAAAAGCGAATTCCCCTGTCGTCTGTAATTATCCAGATAGATGATAGTAATGCTGGCTCACCTGCTCCAGTGCATTTCGATTCCCCTGACAAATGCACGCTTCCTCTCAAGCCTTTCCAGAAATCCCGCCACTTAAGAACGTTTCCCACTGGAGTAGAGCAGTTTGTGCCTACTATTTGTATCTCATTTTCAGACATGGAATAATCCCACATGTTAACGCGGCTCATATTTCCCATGAAAGCCCGATTTACATTAAATGCATCATCTTGAATTTCTTGACCAAGCACCAATTGTTCGTCATGAAACTCGAGAACGTGATTGTTCCTAAATTTAGTACCAGAACGTCTGGGATTGGTTTGTCTATCGACGTACACTGACCATGCACCACCGGAGCTTTGCCAAGTGACACACAAGCAGTGCCACGCGCCGTCATTCAACGGAGCCCCATAGAACCGTCTAGAACACAAAATACCAAATGTTATCTTTTTTAAATAAAAACTATCAAAAACAGATGATTGACCAATGCGCACGTGCTCTAATTTTGTTTGTGCATTTTAAAATAACGTGAAAATCGAACGATGAAGCAACTCGTCGGCTGGTCAGTTAGTCAGTCATTTTGACTCAATCTGAAGGTTACCAGGCTACTAAGTCAGCCAGTCTACTATTACACAACCTCATTGTAGACATCCTTTTCCGCCATTTTGTCATTTCACTATGTATACGGCCAGCCCGCCGCGTAAAGAGAGGAGATTGGTCATTCAAAGGTTAATCAACAATCAGTCAGCCAGTAAGTAAAGTTACGGTAAAACAGGGGGCAAAAACGTGCAACTTGTTGCAACATTGCTGCAAAACAAGTTGAAAAGCAATGTTGCTCGTTTTAAAAGCCAGTATAGCTTAAGACACGGTGTGCACTAGTCAGCCGGCAAGGCACTCTTTAGTCGTCGGTTAGCCAAGCAGACAGATAGGAAGGGGAAAAGGTTCCAACAGTAGGTCCATCAGTACAATATAAGTTGATATAATTAACAAAGTGGCCAGTCATTCAAGTAGGTCGAGTCAATGCAACACAATTCTGGCCCGAGGGGTACTCGATATATCCTTGGGTGGAGAGGTGCGGCCCGGCCCCTCATACCCTGACCCTAGTGTTTAAGACAGAATTCCGATTTTTGATACCCTGTTTAAGACATTTAACCCGAAACCATACCCTGTGTAAGACAATAATAAATATCAAAACTCTTTCTTATTTAAGCCATTGGCAATCACAAAATTATTTACAGCTTGATCAACAGAGTCACGCAGGCTGTTTATCGTCCAAGAAAAGATACCCTGTTTAAGACAAAAATTGATAAAATCGATACCCTGATTAAGACAAAAAATGATAAAATCGATACCCTGTTTAAGACAAAAATCCCGAAAAACATACCCTGGCTGGCCGCACGTCCCTATTAAGCCCTTATAAGGGAGTATTCCCCCCCCGGGAGTCTGGTAAGTCAGTCAGTCAATAGAAAAGTCACGTACATGAGTGACCTAGTGAGTGAACAAGTCAGCCAGTCAGTCTGTCAAAAAAGCAAGTTTAAGTTTAAGACCGTTAAGGCACTCGTCAGTTTATTTAAGACGAAATCAATTTGTTAAACTGAAGTAAATTTCATTTCCCTACTCATCCAAGCATTTATTAGCTAGTCATTTTAAAAACGCTCTCACCTCTTGCTTCCTTTAACATAAAAAGAACACTCTCCAGTTTCATCACAGTTGATAGCCACAAGTCCAGCTACGAGGCCAAACTGACCTGCTTGACTGGTTTGAAACCAGATACACAGGGTGAACGCTGAAAGGCTACAAGTTATCGTAGTGCTGTTGACATAGTTCGACAAGCTCTTTGTTTGGAATGTCAAATCATAGCTGTCTGAGAAAACAATGCAATGAAAACACAATCGCTACCATTGAATGCAATTTTGTTACAAAATATAGTAAAAGGTGTACATTTTGGAACCCTGTAACATGTGCTCGTAATACACCTTATTCACGATGATACCCGCCATCTTTGCACGCGCTTTTTTTTTTCAATTAATGATGTAAGCGAAACCTGGTCTTTCAGGAGGCAAACAAAATTAATGTTTAAATTTTCCAAATACGAGAAATCTCTCCCGAGTTTGTTTATTCCCTCAAATAAAACAATACGACAATTTTAGACTAGCAAATTGCAAAGTTCGAGTTTCGACAAGCTTCATGTCATTATTGCTTGCTGTGAGGAAATCTTCGGTCACTATTGCATTCCAAAAAATAACAGTGATCACTTCCACTCAAAATTTACCATTATCGCCTTTAAGATAAAAAGATCATGATATGGTTTTGTAGTTCATGATTTCTTGTATTGGCAGATTTTATCTTGTCTTGTCTTGTGTAATAAAAAAAACTGCACATTTGTCTCAAAAACCAGCAAGCTATAAGACAGCCACGAGGTCATGATCACCTTGTATATGTAAAGTTAATACGATCAGATCGTATTAACGTATTAACGTATTATTATACTTCAATATCTATATTTTAATGCTTACCTTTCCAGTTTTGACACAAGTCACCAAAGTGTGGCTCGTCGCACTCACATCGGTAACTGACTGGAACATTGTAACAAGTGCTGATGCATTTCCCGCCGTTGAGACAAGGCGACGATGCACATCCGGGACCTTCCTGTGGCTTTGACATGAAAAAAAAAACAAACAAACAAACGGTGCTTTAAGTAACGTTGTTCTGACTTCCTGATAAAAACTCCAAAGACATTTAAGGAAGGTATAAATAATCAATATTCAAGACATTTAAGGAAGGTATAAATAACACATTCTGATATACAAAAAGGAGCCACGGAATTAGACAAACTCGAAAAATATTGAAAATAAGTCATAAAACAGTATAAATTCAGTGTAATTTTGATCTGTTTTATTGACCGCTCAAAAGGAGGCGAGAGAAGTGTCTAAAGCAGCTTACGAGAGGTCGCAGTGTGCGGGAGGTGCCCTTTTCATTAGCCTGCGGACAGGGACGTATTTCCGGTCGTCGCTTCTCTCCACCCAAAAAGTTACTTTTCGAGTGGAGAGAAGCGACGACCGGAAACACGTCTGTGTTCCCAGACTACATTTTCGTCTGTTTTACCGCCTTAATGGGGTGTCCAAGTCAGCTTACACGAAGTTTTCGCTAACCCGTGGTGGACAAGGTTCGACAGTTAATATTTTGATATATTTTTTTTTTCATTCTTACCTTGTGGGCATCATAGTACGTCATACCAGCTTCAACTTGGTAGTTTCCAGGCTTAGTATCATTTCTCTCAGAGCTCAATTGGCAAAGATGAAAGGGGTCTGGAATCTGCTTGAAGTTAAAAGATAAACAGTGATTTTCCTGTAGACATGCAAATGAGCAATCAAACAGATCGGTGACCTGGAGCGAGGAGATGATGAAGCCAGTCAACGCTAACCCTGTAAGAAATAATAATTACATAGATTTAGCCAGAGCTAAAAGCTAAGCTCCCATTTATGCATTTTAAATTTACTTCAGACGATAGATTTGAGACCATTACAAAAAAAATCCACAAATCAATACTTAACTTTAGGGGAGAACCATATGACTGAAAAACATAAACTTGACTGATCAATTAAAAGCTAACAACTGGTCAGCGGAAACCTTCAAAAAAACACATGAGCACGATGGCATCTGAACCCACGATACAGTCATGTGACTACCCTGTTTTAACAGCTGTCAATTGACTATAATATGGATGTCTATTATCAAGTTAAACACAAGTTACTTGCTCCCTCACTAGATAGGAAGTTTGAATTTTCACACTGGTTTCTCTGTGGTGCGGACGGAAAGTCGACGTACGGTCACGTGATTATCAAAATTTCTCGGATGGATAGATTACCAAAATTTTCCTAGGTATGGGGCTTCGCTCGCGCGCGGTTTGCGGGCGCGTGGAGTCCGCCGTAGGTATCACAGGTCACATCTCGCGCTAGAAGACACAGAACCACTTTTTAAAATTTTATATACATTTGTCTGTTTTAAAGTCTCGGGAAAAATTACAGACAAATATATGAAAAATCTAAAGGAAGCCTCTGGAGAAATTTAATCACAGGTACGCCCCCCAAATCCTTTGCTTTGTAGCTTTAGTTTACAATTGATATTTTTTTCAGAACAGCCGTTTCACGGTAAATTATTCGGCATAGATTCTCATACAAACACTGTAATTTCCAAGATGTTTGCCTACTCATCAAAATGGCGTCGAAAACCGTGACAAGGTCTATTTAAAAAATCACTCTAATTCTTCCACATCTCCGCCGCAGGTTTTTAAGTTTTTATGGACGTACGTCTTGTAAGACTCCCTTTAGAACAGTAAAAATTTAAACTTAAAATTGATACCCATGAATGCACCGTTACTGATTTTAATACTTCACTAAACAACGAATTATCTCGTCGATAGAATACAGAGGATTTACAGCCTCGAAATCTATACACAGTATTTGAGTAGAGTGATAAATGGCCGTATTTATACTACAGGACGTCTAAGCCGTCTGAGACGTTTAAGACGTCTTAGTCAACTTAAACGTCTAGTATAAATACAGGAAATAAGGCAGAAGCATTAAACGTCAGACAAATAAAACGTCTGAAGTTAAGTGCGTTCGATCGACGCACTTAACAGATAAATTAGTCGTCTCAGACGTTTTAGACGTCTAGTATAAAAACGGGACGCACTTAACGACGCACTTAACAGTCAGACGTTTAATGCGTCTGGACGTCTATAAGACGTCTTCTAGTATAAATACGGCCAATATTTAGAACACAAATAATAAACAATTATTGGACGAGGTTGAGTAAAATATCGTGATTTGTCAGCGGTGAGCAGATCAACTATTCGCCGAAGCCGAAGGCTGAGGCAAATAACTGATCTGCGAGAAGCAGAAGCAGAAGAACTAAACCAATCACAAAGCGTCCGCTTCTGCTTCCGACTCCAACAATCTGGTTTTCAGTAGATCATAAGCGACGGAATCATAAGCTGAGTCGGAAGAAAATGGAAACGTTCTGATTCTTCCGACTGCGATTCCGTTCCGCTTATGACTCCGATTTTTAATTTTCCCTGAGTCAAAAGTGCTCTTACGACTCCATCTCCGTTTCTGTCGCCAGTGAAAACCAGCCTTTATTCCAGCCGAATTCTAGTAAACTCGGAAGGAGAAAAGTCAGGATGCATTTAAAATACATTATAAAAATTTATGTAGTGCTCATGTTCGGCTAATCTAGAGTCCGGCGTCTGAATCAACGCCAGTCCACAGCAGTCATTCCCGGCTGAGCCATGCCCAAAGAACGACGCCTTACTTCACATGAACTTAATTTATTGAATTTGATTCGGCTTTTGTGAAAAACGGCGTCTTGTTGTGTTCAAATATCAGTCGAGGACAACAATTTAAATAATAAAACATAATCAAGAGGCCAAATTAACAAATTCGGAAAGCCGAGGTTATTTTGAGAGTCCGATAAAGAATTTTAAGAAGATTGAGATGATCTTTTAGTTTAAGTATCTGGAATGCACAATCAAACTCCTTCGAGAGTGAGTATATGCCTCTAAGTTCTTATATTAATATTACTTTACACTGTTGGCCTAATGAGAAATTTACAAATTAAGAAACTTAAGAAATTATAGCGAAAGATTTTCTCCTATAATTGTAAATTGGAAAGGTTCATTTGTGACTTTCAATGTAAATGACGAAAATGAAATAAAAAATAGTTCTTAAAACATGGGCGAGGAAAACTTTCTTGAAGAAAAAAAACTTGATACAAAAACAGGGTAGTTATATCGGACAGCTTTTAGGAACTGTGGGGGTTTATTTAATTATCTCTCAACCCTCCAAGTTGCGACCATTTTAGTCGCCATGGCGCCTAAAAGTTTGAAGCTGGCGACTTGATTTGTAAAAAAGTCTCCCTAAACCAAAAGAATTGGTCGCCAAATGGCGACCAAGCAAAAACTTTAACTTTGAGGGTTGTCTCTGTTATATCATCTAAGAGGCACGCGCTGAGTCTTGTCAAATAAATAATGATCATGATAAAAAATACAGTTTACTTTGAGAATCGTAGTCAACTTTTCACAGCAACCCAAAGACAAAGTTAGAGCATTCGACGTTAATATACTTATTAAATAAAAACGAAGTAAAATATACTTTATCTCACCTTTTCCGACATTCTCAAATTTCCTGGCGCGCAGACATTCATCAGTATAAACGGAGTGACATCTTCTAAGGAGGAAGACACAGCACAGAAAATAACGCAATATAGCCAGTGACAGTCCGGCTTTGCCGTTCATGTCCTAAATTTCTTATCTAACTCTTTGTTCACTTAAGAATAAACGTTTGAAACTACTCCATAATCGTAAACTGAGGAGAGATTAGAGCACGAAGCCCCAAAGGACCAACTACCCTAAATACGGGCATCAATTTTTAATAATTAACGTCAAACATGTCACTTATTTTCTTCAACTAACAAAGATTTTATTTACACAACAAAACATTTATTATTTATCTTGCCCCTTGAACTTCGATGAAACTAAGAATTATGGTATAACCACAGGACATACACAACTCATAACTTACATAAAAAAAAGAGTCAGGCATTTCACAATGGTCAACTGAGAAAAGAAAAATTCTGACCACGATCTTTTAGAAGGAACGCACAAGTTTCTTAAATCAACCCTTACCTCTACCTTGGGCAGTACTCCCTTCTTGTTTGCACAGCTTCTTCTAACATGCGCTTTCCTATCTGTATGGTGAGGTTAAAAATAAACGGAGTGGCAATAGGCTCGTACACGTTTATTGTACGGGGTGTGTAGACTTTTTTCGGTAAACGAACACAATCAGGCTAGGCAAGCTGGTTATTTCTGACGTCTTCTAAAATACCTGGAAATGCGTCTGTACCTGCCATAAGGAAATGAAACTCAATCAGATGCAAAACCGGCCCCTTCATTAAAGACGGCTTATCATCACGTGCATTCAAAAACAGCGGCCGAACCCAACTCAACTCAACAATTATTCCACTCGAAACTTAACTCTATTTCACGTTGTTTGATCAGTTCCTGCAAAAGTCTTCTTGACTGTAACGTTTCCAACTCATCAGTTTGACGATCAAACGTGCATTTGAAAAATCTAATTTACATGATACAATGTCTCAAATGTATAAGCACCCTAAACACACCAACAGAATACATCAGACAGACAAAACGCGCTTTAAGAGACAGATTCGGGGATACCGCGGAGTCATACAAAACAACACTGACGACTCAGTACCACAATACCACCAACAGACATCGAAATTATTCCATTCAAAATTGTCAACTCCAAAAGACTCTACACAGGAAGCCCACGAAGGTTTTTGCATTGAAAGGGCTAAAATCATACAGTCATATGGAATAAAGAGAGAGAATGACCTCATGGTTCTACTATTTTTTTTTCTTTTAAAGGTAGATTTGACATCGCGTACAAAAACGCCTGCTCTGTGAGCAATTTTCCGTCTCTAAATTAACTGAAAGGACGGCGGCTGTACATTGTACGGTTGATATGACGTTTACCGGGTTATAAATTCAACTCCAGTCTGCATACCAGCATGACCCACAGTAAGAAGTAGACACTGCTGAAAGTCATCCGAATGTACATGGAGGCGCGAAACGTCAGTTTGTTGCTTCTCCTGAACCTTAGCTCGGCCTTTGACACCTTTCTTCACGATATTCAGAATTTAGGCCGTGGTCGGAGTGAGTTGTACTGGTTAACGTCGTATCGTGCGGAAAGATTACACAACGTGTTGGGGTGAATAGAGGCCTCTCACTTGCCTTACCGCTCAAGATAGTGGTCCCACAAGGGAGCTGTCTTGGTCCCCTTCTGTTTACAACTTACACCAGCACATGCCATTCGAGATCCTATAGAGCCACCTTCCCAGCATGCATTGCTATGCAGATGACACTCATAGGTGTACGTTGCGCTTAGTCCAAGTGTATCGGGCAAGGACAAGGGCGTTGCCCTTAGTGCTATTAGTGCTATTGGGAACATACTGGACTGGTTGGTTAGGGACCGATTAAAGTTAAAAGCTCGTAGAAATAAGCTCTTACTCATAGGTAACTGGCAGCAGCTTGCGAAAGTTAACTTATTCAGCACTTGTGATAGACTTCTGTAAGTCCTTTCCTCGATGGTTATGTTATCGTCCGTTTCCAAAAAAATCCGCGTCCACACGTTGCGTTTTTGAATCGCTTTTGTCCATCCACACGCAAACGCAATAGTGTCGTAAAACGGTACCATCTTTGATAGGATCATGCGCATTCACTGGTATCTAAGTTCATGACATACCGTAAACATTCAAGAAATAAAAAAAAATCGCAAAAAATGTGAAAGGAATACTTTTTTAAAAAAAGGTGAAGTATATCCCGTACTTTAAGGTTTATGAATAGGAATGTCAGATAATCATTATTAATAAACCCCAGATCAGTGTGGCTTTTAATTTGTTCAGGATATGTATCATATTCGATCCGTTATCTATTGCCAAAGGGGAAATTAGTTTTGAGGTCTTTACTTTCGAAGGGTCGTTATTTTCGGGGGATCGCTACCCTTGGGATTCGCTGACCAAGTGACTTTCGGAGCTTCGCTACTTTCGAGGGGTCGTTACTTTCGGAACTTCCGGTAATTGTTAAAAAAGAACACCTCGGATTCGTTCTCCTTCCACACGGGTAAAGCAAAACGGCGTTTTTAAAAATCTCTACTCTAGAGAGCGTTTTTGAAAAGATGCGTTTTTGGTGACAGTTTTCACCGAACACATGTGGACGTTAGTCCAAACAGGCGGAAAAACAAAAAGCCTTTTTTTAAACAAAAACGGATTCGTGTGGAGAAGGCATTGAGTATCATAATTCATATTTACAAATTAGTTATGCTCTTCTATCGAACCGTGTATATAGTGCTTTTTCTTTTTATGAATAAAATACTAATACCTAAAAATTATGGAGCGTTTATTTATTCTGCAAATATTGCCATTACACACTATATATATAAAACAAAAAATGGAAATAATTCAACTTGCTGGCCGGGATTCTTTAAAGGCATCTTTTGTATTTTAATCTTTTGTATTACATCATTATGGTGGTATCTCACCCATCTGCAACACCAAGGAACTACAAATTGTAAATGTCTTAAAGTTTATTTATTTATTTTATCTCATTCGAGTAACTTTATTAGAAACTTTTTATTCTTTTCGCATGACGTCACGGCAGCCATGTTGGTGTCCCAAAACAGTGAAACGGCGGCCATGCTGTTGTCCCAAACCAGCCCTGTGGGAGATAAACTCTTTCCTCATGCGCTTTCTTCTGTTCCAACAAATTTGCATATATGTTGGCCACGTGAGTGAAAACACTCTGCTAATGTCAGTAATTGTGAGCCAGTCAATTGTATTCTATAAAAATATACATTTATATCGAATATACATTTAAATATCGATATTTACTCTTTGTTAGATATTTGATTTTTCTGATCTATACTTTAATGTGCGCAATGGAAGCAATGAATTATTTTTTATCATCATTTTAATCATGAAAACACAAAGAGCAAATTCCCACGACGTACATTGGGAAAACAAACCACGTAAGTTTCAGCTAAGCAAAAAAGACGATCTTTTTGCTACAGTCACGAGTCATGTATAACTCATTTCTTATTCACTTTGTTATATTCATGCTGGTTTGTACTTTCAGTTCTAACATTCATCTGCAAGTTTCACTGAGCGGAACACAAGCGGCAGTGTACGCTTTGTTTCGAGCTATTTAATTTCATATGCCGAGACGGCACTTCGGAATTATTCCTGTATGTTTCGTCCTTGTTGGTTCTATCCTAAGTATCTTGATTTATGCACAATGGAAGCAGCATTTACCGCGTTCATCTTTAATTATGCCTGCTACACGGTCAAAGATAAAAAACCAAAGGAGATGGATTACAGCGGATCCAGTTTTTTATTCTGCATCGCTTAGGCCGCGGTTATTGTCCCGACACAAGACGACGTTACTCACAACCAAAAAATGTTCGAGATATTATCATCTTCTTATCCTCGTTGCTTCGGCTCCAGATAATTTTGATAGAAGGAACAATATTCGAAAAACGTGGGCACGCGATACTGAACTGCACTGGCCAAGATGGAAGACTTATTTCCTTCTGGGTCAAACACCGACAAGTAATGTTTCAAAATTACTTTTGAAAGAAGATGAAGCCTTCAGAGATCTCGTACGTGGGGACTACAAGGAACATTATTGGAATCAGACTTACAAGATCCAGATGGGCTTTGAATGGGCGGTCAAATATTGCGAATTCTCTTTTCTATTAAAAGCAGACGACGATGTTTTTGTGGACACTGCAAGAGTGATTTCCTACTTGAATGAGCCTGATACGCCAAAGCTAAAGCTTTATTCAGGACACGTTATGCGCCGGGTAGCGGTGACGCGAAAGCTCGGCAAATGGTTTGTATCAAAGTCGGAGTACGCTCGGAATATATACCCCGATTATTGCTCCGGTTTCGCATATATTCTGTCTTACGATGTTGTCACCTTGTTTGTCGAGCTATTTGAGTTTTTGCCCGTCTTTAAAATAGATGATGCATATGTTGGTATGCTTGCAGAACAAACTGGTGTGCGAGCTATGCAAAAAGTAGGATTCGAAACATGGCCACGAGAAGAAACATTATGCATACCTTTAACAGATACCCTTGCGAGACACAGAACGCTAGGAAAATGTTTAATTGAACTTTATAATCGGACTGTCATAAATCGAATGTACTTTCTTTAGGTTGAAATTGAAGATTGAAATAGAAGATTGTCAAATAATTTAAGTGTGATCCAGACGAAGAAATTCAGAATGGAGGGAATTCTTGATCTGTTTATTATAGCCCAGAAACCATTCTTTGAATAATAAATTCCACTAAAAATATACAAATGCAGGCCGTTTATTGTGTCTACATTTTACCAGCCTAAAAGTACAAACAAAGGATCTATTTGAATCAGATTTGCATAATAGTTGTCTAGAACAAAAGAGTTTCACATCCCCGGGGACATTACTCCAGCTGGCATAATACGCAAATACCCTTTTCATAATTTTTAACGTAATTTCAGCTTGGGCTTCAACTTGGTTCTTTCTAAGACTAAGTAATTGCGTTATTGTAACTTAATCCAGGGAATATATTACATCATGACTAAAGGCTTGGTTACCAATGGTGGCATCGACCGGTAAAGCGTCCATGTTAGGCCCACCAAGCGTCCCGAAACATGTGAATATCATGTACTTTTTTTATGATATACTAGTGAGCAGCACACTTACACTTTCAGTGAATATTTTGACTTGGAAAAAGAAGAAACCATTCTCGCCCGGGGCACGAAAATTTTCGTTGCCCCGGGTGAGCATGGTTTGTTCTTCTTCCAAGTGAAAATATATCTGGAAGTGTAAGTGTGCTGCTCACTAGTATATCATTAAAAATTAAAAAAATATTTCAATTTGCTAAAAATGTCAAATGCAGGCGAATTTCCTGGGGTTGATTTCTTAGGGACCGCACTCGTAGGTTCGTTTTAATGAGCGGGCGAAACTACATGCTTCTACTTTAATATACTTTAAATCTTTATACACAGTTCTTTAGTTAAGTATAAATTTTAAAAACGACATTTATTAATACTTCATTCACGGTTTCTAAAAGTGATACAAATTTCATTTCTGGCATAATAAATAGTTACAAAGTCAAGAATCAGGACTTATAAATGGCAAATGGAATTCAGTTTCTGTTCAAATAACGATTTGGCGAAATGAGGGCCTGAAGAACTACAGGGTTGGCCATTAAGAGTCATGTTCACGGCAAACAGCGAACGTCAGATTTAAGTTGAGAACTTCCCAGAATAGAAAATAAGAAGATAAAAACTTTCTAAAGCAATTCTTGTGGATAAAACTGGCGTGAAACAACTTAGTTTTGAGTAGAAACTGAAGTAATATACAGTAAACGACAATTAACGGGAAAACTTCGTCACGGTACAAATTCACGTTTGCCGTTTGCCGTTTGCCGTAAAAGTGATTCTTAATCTCTCTAATTTCGTTAATGCAAAACTCGACACGTTGCATACCAAAATCGGCACCAAACCACTTAGTTTAAGAAATCTTCTTGTTACTCCTCATTCCAGCATTATAAAAAGACATAAGATCATTTCAAAAACGAGTTAAGGCCAACGGAAAATATTGTTAAATATTTCATACCCTCAAATATTTGTCAAGTTTTGTAATATTTCTTTGTTGAAACTTCTTCTGAAATTGTTAATTTAAACTGTTTAGGAATTTTGGATGCTCTACTCCCCTGACGAGTAAGGTTTCACCTCCAATTTTTGGGCCTTCTTTTTCCTACAAAACAAGAAAGAAAATTTCAGTTATTGAACTCCTCAGTGAGTCACACTGCTGCATATTAGCCAGAAGGGTCAATTGTTTAGCAAAGTTGGCCAAGATCAAGAAAACAAACAAAAACAAAAACAGCTAGAAACAAAACCACCAACAAAAAACCACAGCAATGATAAAAAAAGATGTGAAATAATGAAAGAAAAAAATAATCCACGTGTCTTTTTCTTCCATCAATCCTTATGCGCCTGCGTTGTAAGAGGGTGGGCATCGTGAACATCGCGCGACCGCTACACCGAGTGAAAATAATTTTTGTCATCTTTTAGACATGTTTCTGCAATTTGTTGAGAACGTTGATGCGTTTTTATTTAATATACAATCAACGAATGCAATTTCATAGGAGTACAAAGAAAACTTTTTATATACTTTGACCTACAAAGAAGGGCTGAGATTTGTGGAGTTGACTTCTTAGAATTTTATTTGTAATACTTATATACCGTAAGTGAAGATTAGAAGGTGAAATATTACCTTGTACATCGAGGATTTCTGATAATTTGACGCGCCACAGTTTCTGTTAAAATAAGCGAAACAGATGTAATAAGGATGGAAATACTGATAAGCTTTTCATATCCTTGCTTTCTCTTGACTTTCTTCAATACGATGGGGTTCATCCGTCAGGAGCGTTCAAGGAGTTCGTGGTTTTCATATCCTGAGAGGGTTTCTCCGGTTTCTCCAGGCCGGACGCTACGTTACTAACGGAGAGAAACCACTGCGAGCGACCTTTTGCTCAGTTGATGAAGCTGCCGTCGCAGTTGTCTCTTTCGTTGCTGTCATTTTAAGGCACTTAGAAAATTTTCAACCTGACATCTATTAAGACTAAAGGCTTGGTTACTAATGGTGGTGTCGATTGCTAAAAAATAGCAACGACCGTTTACGAAAGGGAAATAGGCACCGCCGTCCAGCGATATGGACGAATTAATTAACTTTGAACAGGTAAAACCTGCTTTAAAACAAGTTAAGGCTCTCGCGCATTTGTTTGCTCTTATAACTGCTGCCTTAACGCGAGCCTGCTGTGAATTTGCGCTTTGGACTGTTTAGCTATACTGACAAGGCACCGTACCACGGAGTAGCAGGGTTGGTTTTAAACCATAGGCGTGGTCACTAACAGTGGTCTAAAAACTGCTAAGATTATGTCAGTTGTTACGAGATCATTATATCGGGTCCACAAGTGCCGTAGATCTCTTAATCTTGTAATTCTGGTGTTTCCGTAGTGACGCTGCTGCTGCTCGTACCGTAAAATTCCGTAAATAAGCCGCGGGGCTTATATTTTTCAAAGGCCCTTTTTGAGGTGCTTATTTTGGAGGGGCTTATATTCGGAGGGGCTTATGTACGGAGGGAAATTTGCGTTTCAAAATCGATTAAGGTAGCTTGTAGTGGGAAGGAAATTTACCATGTTTGCTTTGTTTACTTTGTATTCGATGGCAAATTCCAAGTACAAGCCCCCCGGGGGGCTTATATTCGGAGGGGCTTATGTAGGGAGAGCAATTTGCGTTTCAAAATCGATTAAGGTAGCTTGTACTGGGAAGGAAATTTACCATGTTTTCTTAGTTTACTTTGTATTCGATGGCAAATTCCAAGTACAAGCCCCCCGGGGGGCTTATATTCGGAGGGCGATTTAACGGAGGGTTTTTTGCGTTACGATTTTGGGGGGTTTATATTTGGAGGGGCTGATACATGGAGGGGCTTATTTTCGGAATTTTACGGTATTTTGTTTGTGGTCTTAGGGCATAGTTCTGCAGCCGGGGCGGTTGCCTCGGTCAAATTTAAAATTCAATGCCCCCAGTTCTTTAGCAAAAACACTTTCAGTTACCATTGACATCACAACTTTTCAAAGTAAGATCACTTTCCTAGTCTCTCACGCGTAGCTGGCGGAATTGTTTTGCGCGTCTGAGACTTTTGCCGACGAAGCCGCCATGGCGCGAAAAGCTTTCAAAACGTATGCTCCACATTCTCCGAAAGGCTTCACAGTTCTCTTCCGAAACTCCGCTAGCGCTAATGATCCCGCTGGCTACGCAAGCTAACTCAAAGTGGATTTCCACTGTCGCGTAATTTTTACGTGCGTACGCACGTAAATAAAATAGAGGGAATGTATGAGAGGTCGCGCGTAAACGTAAAAGTTGAACAACACAAATCATACATCGCCTATATTTTCTTTGCACACGTAAAAATGACGCAAAAGTGGAAATCCACCCTTACTCATGAATCCACTAGGGTAGTTACTGACTAACTAGTAACTAAGGGGTTGAGGAACACTGCATTCTAGAGCATAAACTGATTTGTGATGCAAAGCAAGTGTCAAAGAATTATCTACAAAGGAGTACGAACCAAAATGCCGCCAGTCTTCATAAGATATATGAAAGACCATACGTAACAAAGTTAATTTATCCTCGGCTTTTAACTTACTTGCAAGGGTCCTTAGGAAGGGGTTTTCCGTAGGCGATTGTTCGCTGTTTACACTCCTTACAAGCAAAGAACTTCTTCAGCGTTTTGAAATGCTTTAATGTGTGACTTTCTTTATAGCAGCGTTGGCCGGCACTTTCGGCTACGTAATTACACTGCAAGATAAGATAAAGAGTAAGTCTAACTTATGCCATAGGGGAAGCAACCAAAAACCTGGAAATGTAAAGGAACAATTGTAGGAGTACTATAGCAATGTTAACCAAATTGAGCGTATTTTCATATTCCCTTCACCAGGCCCCGTTCCCCAGCGCCTGTATCTCACAGAGTATAAGTCTTGCAGGCTTTTTCTGATTTATCAATCGCGCCAGTCAGAGCAAGTAGCAAATGGAGAGTGAAGGGAAGGTGGTTCAACCCATTCATGAGAAAGTGGTTCAATTTCCTCGTTGAGCTCAGAGTCACCCAAATCTAGCCGAGGAAACGATTTCAGTAGTGAAAATCACAGCCATTATAGCGGGGAAAGAAATCTACAAAGAGACTAAACGTCTAACACACCCCGACACTTACTTACGGCAGATGGAAACTGCCTTTATTGTATAGAGCGTTTTCACTCGCGTGGCCATCAGCTACACAAATTTATTTCAATAAAGGAAAGTGTTTGCTCAAGAAAAAGGTTTAAATCCCACAGGGTAGGTCTGGGACACCAACATGGCGAAGGTGACGTCATGTGAAAACGGTCTACTGGAGTATGAACTGTGTTGAAGGAGTTCGGTCACGGTTGAGAAAACCTGTAGTCCATCTCCACCACCGTGAGATATGGAATATGATACAGGAAGTGGAGTTTCTGCACCCTTGGGGGTGGTTTTGTCCTAATTTTTGGACAAATCGTCTCTATAAGAGGAAAGGAACTAAGCAAACAAATTTGGAAGCATTAAACTCTACTAAAAGCCAAAAGGCCTCACTTCCTGTTGAGGTGCGTTGCGCCATGTTGGTGTCCCAAAACAATGAAACGGCGGCCATGTTGGTGTCCCAAACCAGTGCTATGGGAGTTGAACTCTTTTCTTATGCAAATGCTTTCTCTTGTTCCAAAAATTTTGCATAGATGCTGGCCACGTGAGTGAAAACACTCTATACGCTATTTTACAGTTGTGTGCTCAGCGCCCTGGCCTTTGCATAGAAGCAAGGCTGGCGGTGACCTTGGTTTGTTACAAACCCTCTTGTTTTTCATATGTAAATGATCATGTTCACTGGTTTGTTAGCATGAGAATACCACGATTTGCACGTGAAAAGCAGGAGGGTTTGTAAGAAGACAAGGTCACCGCCGGCCTCGCTTCTATTCAAAGACCAGGGCACCGAGCACACAACTGTAAAATGGCCCATTGTAAGTGCCTCAGAATAAACAGCAAAGACCAAAGTCGTTACCTGTTTACAACTGACCACGTTTACTTTAATCTCGGTGATTGTCTTCATTTTGTCCTCCAGTTGTTCCTTTTTCTCCAGTTCGTTGAAGTATTTCTCCTCTCGTTCATTTTCGGCCTAAAAAGCGAAACTTGTAAATAAAATGAACAACTAATGCAAATAGATTCAGTAACCGTTGAGGTTTTTCTACCAGGAAGAGTACGCAGCGTATCAAAACGAAAAAAAAAAAAATAAATAAAGAAGCGCACGATTTACTTAAGGGGGCTACGTCACATTTTTTCTGTTGTTCATTGGGTTAAAGTTGCCAATAATGCATCTTTACTCGTGGCTTCTCTCTTTCAAAATATCTTGAAAAAGATATGAGCCCCTCTTCATTCCTCACCTCCAACACAGCTCCAACATGTCGCGATTTCGCTGCAAGTAACTTTTTTCCCTCCTCGGAATTTAGGTCTATTGAGCCAAATTCCGGTCCTAAAATTCGCCTTCTTTTCGTTCTAGAATCTTCACTTCCATTTTCTTCGTCATTTTCTGAGGGCAAAAAAAAAGAAGAACAAGAGGAAGAGAATAACTAAACTGTTATACAAACCTTATACAAAGTTCGTATTTGAACGGATTAAAAGGGTTTTAGAATTGAGGGGAGTGGATCTGGGGTACAGGCGCTCAAGGAACTACCTTCCCTTCCCTGAAGATCTGCCCCTGCCATTAACTCTCAATCATAAAAATCAAATGGTACGATGCTAAAGTTCTGCTAAAGAGGTTTCATTTGATGAATGGTGACACCATAGGGTTTCGTCCATAGATTCAAAAGTTAGAAATGATGAATCGCCTCACCATAACTCGGTCTGGGAGGCAAAGAGTTACGGGACGAATAGTTTAATTTCTAGAGAAGCTGTATTTCTGATTTGGTGGAGAATTAATACTAACAGCAACTCGAGTGAAGTGGTGTATGTACGAGCTGTTAACACCTCGAACTGAGGATCTGGAGGTCTGGGGTTCAAGCCTCGCCCGTCGCGTTATTTCCTTAGACAAGGAATTTTACTCCACTTTGTCTCTTTTCACCCAGGTGTATAAATGGGTACCGGCGACATACTGCTGGAGGATAACCCCGTGATGCACTAGCATCCCGTCCACGGGGGAGTAGCAATACTCCTAGGCATGCTTCGGGAAAAGCTCCGGCCGTTTGAGCCTTTGGCTTCAGGGCTCCTATACCTTTTTTTCATGTATCTTTACCGGTTTCATCGACTGAGTCGATGAGGTACAGTTATTACCATTACATGTAAAGAGGCTGATCCTCTTTAACTGTTTTGTCACCAAATTCAGTGATTACGTTACCTTTCCCGCTGTCCTCGGACGCCCTTTTTTCAATCTGTTCTAATGCCTTTGGTGATAACTTTTTTCTCAGAGCATTTGGATCCTCTTTCTCTATTGGTCCTTTTAGCTTCACAAGTGACAAGGCCCGAGACTAAAAAGTGAAAAGGGAAAAGTCAATAAGAAAAATACCACATAAATCTTCAAAGAAAAGTAAAGTTCCTTTCTCCAAAATATTAAAATTTTACGGGGATAGATTTGGCTTTAAGCGTTTACGACGAAGTATTTCGAGTCGCTTGTCAATCGCGTAGTTGGTTTGTTTTTATGCAAGGGAAAAACCTCTGCTCGCAGAGTAATTTGTTACCATTTCACTGTGAGCTTGAGCATTTTAATTTACATGGAAAAGCCAGATTTACAGTTAAAACCTCCAGTGGCACTGTTCATCTCAGTAAAATGGTTTCCGGAGAAGATGAAAGTCCTACGACCCAGTCACCCTCTTTTTCCATTCCAACCGGAATGACAGAGTACATTTCTGTATACAGTCGCATCTTCTGTAAACGACCACTACAAATCTTCGCATTTTGGGTGGTCACTTACGGCACGTGATCGATTATAAGAATCAAACCATGAGGAAACTTTCTGAACAGAGGTCCCGACATAACATCGTTTTGGAGGACAACTTATTGTATGCAATTCTAAGCTACGATATGTGTAGTTCCATGTTGTCACTTTAAAGACGCTATTTTTCCTTCGTCCCTCAGAACGTGAGACAAGTGGTCGCTTGCTAAAGTAAGAACTATGGGAAATAATAAAGGTTGTGACATATGAAGGTTTGACCTCTCTCCTCCACAGAGGCCACTTTAGAGAGCTTAAGCAACGAGAACGGGGGCGGCAACGAGAACGGCAAAAAAGCAATAAATTTAGACTAGCAAAACAGCAACTTTGCTCGTGCATCACGCTTTTTGTCAATTTCTTGGCCGTTACTGCACGGCTACGACGTGAAAATGTCTAATTTTACGTTTTGTCGAGGACATGAACACACGAGAACTACTTTCTTTTACTTTTCCTGAACTTCAATACAGTCTTAGAATTCAACTCCAGAAAAATTTGACGAATTGAACGAGATGGAATTAGCGTAATTAAGTTTGAAGCAGGGCGAGTTCACTTTTAAGTGACGTTTTCGTAACCCTCGCCGTCTTTGTTCCTTAAGCTCCCTTTTGTATCGTATGGAGACTGGGGAGAGGGAAACAGAAAGCGCGCGGCGCACGATGGGAAGATGAAAGGGAAGAAGAGAGACTTCAGCCTTTTCCCTCTTCCCATTGTCCCCCGCGCGCTTTATATATTTCGATTACAGTATTGCTAATTTTATTGGGATACCCAGCGAGAGCCTCTGCAGAGGAGCAGGCTTTTCGAGGTGACTACAGTATTATCGGTTAAACCCTCGAAGGGTACGTTTAAAACACTCCTGGATTTCATAACCATTTAAATATCGGACACTACTAGCGATGGCGACTAGGGACACTAGAAATACCTTTGCTTTATCAAAGTCACTTGACTTTCGTTTCCTGACGTTTGGCGATTCATCAAAGAAGATATCGGAACCACGTGCCAAGCCACGCCCAAGAAAAGGAGTGTCTTGTTTATTGTTTGGAGTGGAAGTGACTGTTGAGGTCGTAGATGGAGGCATTTTATTTCGTTTAAGGTCGCTTTCATGTGCCTTAAGCAAGTCTGAGGCAGACATTAGAGGTTGCTTTTCCTCCTCTGGCTTCTCTGAAAATAGAGGAAAAATAGTAGGCGTACTTACCATTTACGCAAACCATCCTAGTGGAAATCTTGTGCTAAACGAAAACCTATGAAATTTGATGGGTAGGCTAAACGATCTACTACGGAGTATACCCAAATCAGCTGAACTGAAAAAGAGTGAAAAAAAAAAATGCACCGCCTCAAAACACGGCCTATATTTACTAAAGCTTCCCAAACGAAATGACGTGAACCATTTGATTTTACAGCCGGAATTTCCGCCGGTTTTTCCTGTTTGCTTTAACGGTTCTCCCTTCAACGGGCAAACAAAAAGCAGCAAACAAACAAACAAAAAAGCATGGATTGTAAACGGATGTTAATCAGATAGTAAACGGTTACCACAGGCCTTTTTTTTCCTCCAAAAAAAATGCATATTCAGAATTGAAGGATAAGATTATTTAATAACACGGACATAATACATACAAGTAAACGATACTGTGTGCAGTACAGCCCTGACAACTTCACTGAATAGTCATCTGCTAGCAGATAACTGGCCAATTTGTAGGTTGCGTGCGCATTAGATGATTTGTGTGTATGTGTATACAGCTATTTCAAGAAAGGTTGTCGGAAAAAGTGCACCTGACAATCCCGAAAGGTATTGTGGGTGATTTTGAGTTCACTGTTTTTCAAAGAAATTTCAAAGAATGGCATGAGAAGCCATGGACGTATGTTTGCGAGTGCTAAAGGAAAGCAACAAAAGTAGATTCCACCGCTACAGTGTCAGGAAAAGTGCATTGATCATATCCCATATTACCTTTCGGGATTGTCGCGTGCCCAGTTTTTCCAACAACCTTTCTCGAAATAGTTGTATGTTACAGGTCAAAATTAAATTCAGGTTAAAATTTTTTAACCTGGGTTGATTCTCAATTTCCTGTGTCTCCTGGCCCTAATTCATGAATAGTCAGGGCTAGGAGACAAAGGAAATTGAGAATCAACCTAGGTTATAAAGCAATTATTGGATTTGTTTTTCTGATATCTGAAATAGTTTATGCCTTGGTAAGTGTTATCAGCTGAGGACAAACACTTAGCTTTAGCTCAACCTCAACCATTCCCGATATTACAAAAACTTCATCCAATTGTTGTTTGATACAGGGTAACGAGTTTAAACCATCTTATCAGTTAAAACCTGTGGTAAAAAAAACAAAAAAAAGAAAAGGAACCAAAAAAGACCGAAAAATTGATGTTGAAAAACACTTACTTTGCTCCTCATCCTGGTTTAAATGTTTTACAAGATTTCTAGAGCCAGCAGTTGGCATATTCAGCAGTTGGACACTAGTAAAAAGAGATACCCAAAAATTAATTGAATAATTACCATCAAGGTAAACAAAAGAAATACAACAACATTCAAAATTCTCCTATCCACCCACCCCCCTTCCCTTAAAAAAACTGCCCTATTTTATGATAGCTAGAATGATTTTGTGCCATTTATAGTGGTATACATGGAAGCAGTACTTACAGGTATTCTGAAGGTTCTGCAACGTTCTTGTTTGCTAGTTTATCACTTGAATCAGCTGCAAAATTTACAAAACAAGGATACAGCGGTACAACATGCATTTTAGTAAAAAAACAAACAAACATTAATAAAAAAAAATCTTCACCATTCCAGCCAAAGGTAAGATGGTCAAAAGACAAGCTTTTCACTATCTCATAACAGGATCAAGCAATAGCAGATACAAATGAAGACGGTTTGAGTATATACCTAGCACTATCTAACCTACTAAAAATATGGAAAAATATGGTTGATCAGAACTGTTTACATGTATGCATTACAGACTGAGGTGCCCATAGTATAGTGGTATAGTGTAAAGATTGAGAACTGTCTATACATGTACAATAGGGAGGTGTATCCAGGCAAAACCTGTCATGACATCCCAAGAAACTGAATTTGTAACTATACTAGCTCTCCCAATATTTTTTCATTTTTTGTTGGCTACATCTTATGTTAAAACTAGTTGTTTGCCACTGTTTGCTTGTTATGGAAGAGTACATTTCACTGTGCATGTGGCAGAACTGAAACCGAACAAGGTGTCTGCATTGTATCAGTGTCTGCAAGAAATGTACGTTGTGCACTTCAATGATACTTGGTAGCAGTATCTTTTGTCCTCTTGTAAGTCTATCAAAATTATCAGCTACAGATGATTCGGTAGAACCTTCGTAAAGCAGCTAACCTCAGGGTACCGGCAAGTGGCCATTTAATGAAGGTTGGCCATTCAATAGTGGTTCGTAACACAATACAATGTACAACTTTAATTACTGGCCAGAGGTTACAGAGGCTGGCTGCTTCATGGACGTTCAACTGAATACAGAAAAGATACATATGTGTACATGTACTTTTAGCATTCAATTCAGCTACACTCTTGTTTCCAATACCAAGGCTTTTAAGAGTGACGTTCTTCTTCTTATGATCAGTGGTGTGATTTGATGCAGTAACTGTCCGTCCCTGGTACATGAAGGTGGAATTGTTCAGATCCTTCTGGAATTTCTTCATCAGTGGAGCTTTGGCTGATGGGGCATACCTGGAAAAAAGAAACAAATTTTATTTAAACAGGGTGCAAAAAAGTCAGTTTTACAGCTTGCCATCTGGGCAAGTTGCACATGTACAGTGTAGACAGAATGTAATAGCCCAAAAGTCATTTCAAGTACATACACCTAAAGCCTGGGCAGAGAAAATTTTTGAAGAGCTCTGAATACAGTTCTTCTGTGATTTGAATTCTCCAGAAAATTCACTAGCCCATCGTGCAAGTTAAGAAAGTGAATAACAGAATTCACCAGCCTTAGAGCAAAATCCACTAGCCTCAGCCAGGGGCTACTGGACATGATTTTGTTTGCATGCTGTTTAAAGCTATGTTTCAAGAGAATTTTGATGGCCAAAAAATTTGTTCAAAAATGGCCAAATTTTTTCATAAAATATTGTGATTTTTTTTTAAAGCAACAATGGCATCCATTGTTTTCTTTTTCTTTCTTTTTATGTTGGCACAAAAACAAAAAAGGTAAAATGCAGCTGCATAAATGCTGATACAATAGCTTTTTTATTTGCCCATCTGAGTCATACACTGTAGTGCTATTGAGTTGCTTCCCCTCAGGTTTTACAAGTATCTCACAGGCTCATGATAATGCTGATTATGTCAACACAAAATACATGAACTAACTTTCACACACTCAATACACCTTACCCTGCTTGACACTCCATTCTCTGAGACTGCATCTTCTTATACGCTGCTTGGATATGATATTCACAGAACTCACCATGTTGCCTGACGAAAATTAGTAAAAAGTAGGTGTTTTAAAATTTGTGGGATAACTTGCAGTTAAACTCTCTCACTCTCTGAGTCAAAGACAGCTGTAAGGAGATATAAGGCTCTGCAGCCTAAAGCCCCAAACAAACAGACGCAACATTGTTGGCCAACAACAAAGAAGAGGAGGAGCAAATTTTGCAGCAACGATAAGTCAAATTTTGCTCCAAATCTGCCCTGGATGACCTAAGAAAACTTCTTCAAAATGGTTACCCCCAAGGTATAATCAACTTCCACATCAATGATGAGCTAGACAGAAACTGAAGAAGCAAGACAGCCCTGTCCCCATGGTTCTTAAGACAGATATTATTATCCTGTTAACTTACTTAGGTCTTCAAAGCAACCAAATTTCTAAACGCTTTAAATCCTGTATTGACCACTTTTACTGAAGTTATCGTTTGGTGGTCACTCAAGCAAATCATTGCAGTGAGTTCCATATGCCAAATGCCCAAAGCCAAATTCCCAATGACAAATTGCAAAAGCAACCTTTATAGATTTAGCTCTGAACTACTGACCCATAATTATTTTATTAACTGGAGTAAAACTCAACTTGTACCTGTTAACAAAGTTTCCACAAGGGCGATTATCTGACCTTCTGACATCTTTACATTTTCCGAGATCTTTGGATATTCCCATCATCATGAGCTTTTTGGCATTGTCCAGGGTGAGAGCAAGATCATGTGAATTTTTCTGCAAAAAAACAAAAAAGACAAATAGGCCAGTTTCAAATTATCAAAATTCATTCTTGGCTCCCTGGCTGAGGAAAGATCTCAAAGCCATATCTTTTGCTTTATACACCCCAGCCTTGGAGCCAAGAGTGAATTTTGATCATTGAACCTGGTCTATTAAATGTATGTGTCCAGTTACTAACCTCTTTGGCAGGAAGAATAGATGCATTGAGAAGAGCCACAACACTTCCTTCAGTTGTCTTCCAGTGTTCCTTGTAAACATCTCCAAACAGAAACAGCGCAACAAATTCATTAGTGGTATTTGCTCCTAAGTCTGAAAGTTTCCAAATGCCATATGTTTTACCCTGAAAACAAGGATCTACCATTATTATAAAAGCAATTATAAACCAGAGTAGGAGTAAAGTATAATATTGACTAGTAATGCAATGAGACACCGGTGCACAAGTGAACCGGACATTTTTTGCCACGATACGACCATCGATATTTGAACAACATACAAAATGTATCGCAATATTATGATATTATGATTCTTCATCAACATTCAGAAATAACTGTCTCTAATGACTCCTTACTCAAATCCAAGCCCTTTTATATCTATTTATTAAACAAAGGGATAAGAAAGTTCCATCCTTGCTTTATAAAGCTTCACATGCTTCCAGTCCAACAAGTATTTTTCAAGATGGTGGCACAAACACATGCATAAATTGCCAGTGGGTTATTTATTTCCATGCTTTGTTAAAAATGGAAATATATGATTTCAAAGCAGTTTAGTAAGATCACGTCAATAGGCAGCAGTATGTAATGATGAATCGTATCATGTATCATATCGTAGCACCTGTATCAAGATGTGTGTTGTATCGTGAGAAAATGCATTGTTGCAGCCCTAATTTTGACAAGTTACAAGAGGGTGGATCAGGCCTCTGAACATTACTGTCTCAAATGATGCACGTTTAAGGTACAAGACAGAAGAAGAAACTAGATGACAGTGCTTGACCTAAACTCTTTAAATCACTAGTCATAAAACCAGTTGATTGAGGTGATATTGATTCACTTGGCCAAAAAGGTCATACCTTAGATTCCAGACTCAAAATCACTGAACTCACAAGACAAAAATTAATAGGCCATTTCTGTGTTTCCTCTGGCCTCTGTATCAAAACGTGGTTAAATGCTCAGCCTTTTGTATGAAAATGATTTTTCATTCTCATGCTAATAAAACTCAATTTTAACAAGACAGGTTGTGCACTTGGCCTCATTTTGAAAGTGAAGGTTTTTGGAACTTGGAAGTGGCCTATTGGGATGTTGTGTATTTTGGGTTTTCATGAATGACAGTTTAAACAGCAAGATGAATCTATTTTTGCCAAACCATTTGGGTTGCATCATGAATCTGTATTATTCTCTTCTAAGCATAAACCTAGTTGGATCATGTGTACTATATACTGTAGGCACCTGCCAACCTAATCCCAGGCAGCACTCAGTTAACATATCAGCCGCAAGTCAGCTCAGACATCAGCTGACACTACGTCAATAGTTGGTTGAGTGTTGACTGACCATCAATGAAATGCTTTCTTCGTCACTTACTGTAGGTCAGTATAAGGCACTACAGCTGTGGTGTCTGTAAATAGCATCAACTGTCATACTTGACAAAGTGTTGGTTGATAGTTTCTGCCAAGAGTTGAACAGCAGGTGCCTTTGCACATGACCCACCTGCCCTTAACCATTACACAGCAGGCCAAGAGATAAAATTAGTGATTCTTACATTTGAGCTTGTCTTCGGTGGAAGCTTCTGAACCAAGACACCAATTGTTACCCAATCCCCATCAATATCATTATTCCCTTTAATTTTTGTTGGAATCTGTGATATTTTCACCATCTTCCTGCCTTCCATTCTTTTCTCCATTACTACTGACGAAATAAGTGGATTAACAATCCGCAAACCAGAGAACTTCTCACTCAGATAGTTGTTGTCATCATTGGTGCTTGTTCTTGTTCTAGTTTCTAGTTGTTTTGCCACTGTATTATTTGATGATCCTAAGCTCCTATTAGAGAGCCTTTTCCCCTTCTGATCCAGACTGTCAGCTGCTTTTGATTCTGTAGTTTTGAAGCTGCCCTTTCTTTGTGCTGTAGATAAGTACTCAGCACTTTTTTGTTTCACAGAATGAAGAGATTTAGAACCAGATTCTATTGAAACTGCAAAATAAAACTGATAATTAATTTTAAATCAAATTATCACACAATCATTGATAATTAGGGAAATTTGATCAATATCATTTACTGCTTTTTGCTTGGCCAAAGACAGTGTTTACAGTTTTAGTTTGCCATGTAAAACCAGTCGCCTATCTATTGAATTATTATTGTCCTTATAGCATGGCTTTATATAGCTTGGGATTAATTTCTGAAAACAGGTCATCCCTACCCCTTGGCTGTCATGATAAGGGTCCCTACAACAACCGGTTCTACATCCGTGTCTTTTATACCCCACATTCTTCTAATCTTCCATTTCAAAACCTGATATTTTTCGATTTTTTCAAATTCCTTTTCATGTTTCCAAATTTCCCCAGGAATAGCTGTGTCTACAATTATACATTTTTTTTCTCCTTCTTGCCCTTTTTAGTTATTATTATTATTATTATTATTATTATTATTATTACTATTATTATTTTGTTGTCTACATCTGTACTACCTGGCTGATTTCTGGATTGTGCAGGTGTATGAGCAACCCTTTTCTTATCTTTAGAAAATAAAGCTGATGGACTTGTCTGTTTATTTGAGTTGTGGCTCCCACGAGCTTGTGTATCATCAGGCAGATTAGATTCCTTGGGGAAGTCTGGTCCCTTCTGATCATTACCTGATGTCTGTTGCTGAGCTGCTGTGTTAGTAAAACTAGTCAGGGAAGCATAAATTTGTGTTCTTTAATACTACACCAGTATAGTTCAACTTGCTCAAATCCAAATGAAATACAGTAAACTTCCACTTATAATCTCACGGATTACAAAACTTTGTAAAGGGGTTTAGGAGGGCTTATAAACAGAGGGGCTTATATGAGGGGAGGAGGGGGGGGCTTATAACTGGGCTGAGAAGGCATTTCAAAACAAGCTACATACACCCACTGTAGTGGGGCTGATCAAAATACGTTATGAATTTACAGTTGCTTTTTTAAAGCTTCAAAGCATCTTAAAGGATCAAATATTATTACGATGTAACTTCAATACAAGCTAAAGGGAGGCTTATCACTGGAAGTATTTTTTTGTTTACAGGTATATGGGCCTACATTGTTTAACTGGGGGTGGAGGGGGGGTGCTTATAAGCCATTGTTTATGGTATCCCTTGTATCTTCTTTTATCCCTTCTTGTTGGTTGCTTAAGAGAGTTTTGACTGTACTTAAGAATCGTGATAAGAATAAAATGTTTAGTTTCTCTCCAGATCAGTAAAAATAATAATAACCTGTCACAACATGAGCTTGTACATCCCAGCAATACAAGTACAGTGTACCTTTGTGAAATCAGACCCAAATTAAGTTTTTCTTCTGAATTTAGCCCCTAGTTGATTTCACAAAGATTGTTCGGTCAAAACTCTTTAAAACGGACACCAAAGGAACAGAACCAAGTGTCCGCTCTACAGAAGTGTCCGTACTATAGAGGAAGGGAATGTACAATTTTTGGCATTTCTGGGACCAAACAAACTGTCCGTAATGGATAGGTGTCCGTATTATAGAGGTGTCTGTAAGGAGAGGTTAGACTGTTCACAAAATACACTTATGTGAAGGATACAAGCTTGCGCTGACTGAAGAAATCTGACCTGCTCCTGCAAGGCTGCTATTTGCGCTACAAAAAAAAAAATATACAAATAAATAAACTACAAAATATAGCATTAATATTAGGGGAAGGTGTTTTAAAACCAGAAAATTTATTGGAAAGTATATTTTTTTCCAAATGGGTAGGCGTTTTGAAACAAATAAACCCTGGCACTTAAGATATTATAACAGAAAGGACCTGTATAGGTTGCAATTAATCAGGTAATTGTTGTTTTTCCTTTGTTTCAAATTCATTAGCATATATTACCATACCAAAAACAATGGAAAAATAAAAATTATCTACAATAAAAAATTAACTACAACATATACATTAGTAGTCTCATTTGCATAATCAGCGAGGCTTCTAATCTGCAATGCGTTTATCTTCGTATTTAGGACACAAAAGGGGGTCATTGTGCCAAGCGTTCCTAGCAGAGACCAAGGAAACTGGGAATAAGAATCGTGGCGTGAAGAAAGGAAACTTTCATTGTATGCAAATGGCTCTTGTGATGAGCATACGGTTCATTTTCGGCGATGATTGAAATGACTTGCCATGTAAATCACTTTTTTGATCTCTGGCAATGATGTAATTTCTTTGGAATCAAGGCCCTTTAATTTTTGTGTATTTATACACGCATATAGCCTGTGACAGCACACGTATTTCAGGTCGTCACTAACACCCATACTAAATCAATTCAGAAACAAATAAAAAGTAATTATGCCGAAGAATACGCAACATGTACAATTAGTCGTCTCCTCATTTCTCGATCTAATCTCCAAGCAAGCGAGACTGGACGCCGCTGTACGAGCGTTCTTGTTTATACAAATCTACAGCAAGCCAGTCGTAAGAGGGGAGGTAAGCTTATATCAATTCATTTACCTGCAGAAAATGACAAGGGCGTTAAAATTTTTGATAAATTAGATAGACAGCGATATGCGATATCTACGATAACTAGGAGTGGATTATGACTAAAGCATGCAGCCAACTGACCTGCCATTTCTTCCACAGATGAGTGCGGTGTTGTTATGGACTTAACATGAACCTGGTCCCCGCCATGACCTTGTTTTTGATGTTGTTGGGATTTGGAACTAGAAACCGATGCGGTCGATTTCGGAGAAGCGTTGGACGATGAAAGCGCTTCGCCGAGGTAATCGTCATCTTGAAATTCGAAATCGCTATCTGCTAGACTAGCTAAGATGTCAAGATCATCTTGGTCTGCCATTTATTAAAAGGAAAACAAATGATCGGTGTTGACATCTGATGAACGATTACACACCTAACAATTCACGTTCTAATGCTTGTAGCGTGCTACAGAAAACAGTTTGCGCCAGATCAAAGCGAAGGATAAATGCACTGGAACCATAATCAATGAAAAAAATACCTTCCATTTTCGTAGATTTGTAAGGAAAACCTTCACAGTATTCACGAACAACTAAGGCAAGTTCGTCGACAAATGATGGAATTTTTTCCCGCGTAAAAGGGTAAATCCGCTGGATCAAACTAGCGTGGACGTATGGAACGCTCGCACTGCGCATCTCATTACGACTTGCCTTAGCAACCACATGGCAACAAACAAGTGAACAGAATGGAAGCTATATTATCTCAGCTGAAAACTTAAGAGAATAGCGTTGTAACTTAACTGTAATCCTGGAAGGAGGCTATTTAGAGCTGGTGCCGTGGAATGGAAGAAATTAGCTGATGCATGTTTGAATTTGAGAAGCGTGACTTCAAAGGCTTGTACGCGAGACATTCTCCAAACTGCTCACTCGAATTGACTTCTTAGCGTCTGCTAGCTTTGTGGCAAGACTGTGGTTTCACAGTTATACAATCTTCGCAAAAGAATTCTAAACAACAGAAGGCCAGTTCTTAAGGCATTCAGGGAACATCAAAACTAACACAACGTTAACGTCGATGCACAATTTTTCGGCATTCTATTTTTTAAGCCCAATGGGAAAACTGTAAAATTATTGTGTGTTTTCCGCCACTATATACTTCAAACATGGTTGCTTCTGAGAGAAAATTGGACAAGGATAAAGGAGACCACAAAGTCACCTTCACACTGACCGTAGCTTTGGCTTTTCCGACAGGTAAACTTATGTATTGTTTAAAACATGTGGGATTCGCTTCAAGTTCATAGCATAGTATCAAATTACATCGGTACTATAAAAGCGAAGTCTTACAACCCGTAATCATATTTCTCAAGTCAACACAGTGTTTACATATTCTTATGCGAGAGAATGTTAGATTTAATATTGATCTAATCGGAGAAATAGGAAGAGGTGGCATTTCACAGCTATTAAAAGAGAAATCTTGGGGAGATCGTCATGTAATATGTTAATTCTTCCTTTAAGTCAACTTTTAAATTTGACTCCACATCAACATGTATTAATTAGACATTAGGTAATGTTTCCTTATGCCTATGGACATCTTGCGGAAGATGCCAATGTCTTTGGGATACTTTTTCCAACATGGCAAGCACAGGAAGAGAGCAAATTGGGATTGGGAACGGGCCAGCGAGGAAGAAGGATGTCCTCACCCCAGTCTTTAAGAGTTTGCTAGCAGGATTGCCAGTACAGCATGTGTTTTTGGTAACTGCTTGCGAAGGTTGTCTTAGGGCCTGTTTATATGAGGTGAGCCAGCCTGGTTGGGCAGTTTGGCCTGCTTTACCAGGCTGGCTTAGCTAAAGCCTTTTTTCTTCCTAGAATTGTGGTTGTGTTTATGAGAAGGCAGGCTGGCCGGCTTTCCGAAAGCCCTTTACTCCGAGCCTGTGAAATCCAGGGGGTCCAGCACCGGATCCCATTAAAAAAGGATTTCTTAGTTCTCCCAAGAGCAAAAGTGAGGTGCCAAGGGCCACAGGGCACTGCTAGAGCACATGGAGTGCCCTTCACAGGTGCACTGCCATATGTTATGTGAAGGTATGCAGAGGGTGGGTGGGTGGTCACCATCAGGCTGGGAGCCTGACGATCTTCTCTAGAAGTGCATTTCAAGAAAGATCACAAAAAAATTAATAATAGAAATGAAAATGCTGTAAGTAAAACATTTGCCAATAGGATGACACATTCATGTTTTATACCTACATTTGCTTTTTATCTTTTGTCTTTATTTCATGAAAGTGTTGAGAAGTAATTTTGACAGACTTAAAAATAACATTATTTACTGCAGGCACCCACACTTTGTGAAAACTTGATGGCCATTTTTGCCTGTTAATTAACTATTGTTTTTGTTGATCACTTACAGATGACAGTGAACATCCTAAACCTGTTACACGAGGTATAGCTCCTTTGAAGGCAAAGCGCAAACTGTTTGAGGCACCCAAACCACATTACTATTACCATCTGGAATACAAGTTGTTTCCAACAGACACAGAACCAATCAAAGCTGATGTTGTAACATATGATGTTGCAGCCAAGATCTACTCCGAGAGTGACTCCAAGGTGCTGAAGACTTGGAGAGATGGAGACAAGATGTGGGTTACTTGGACACACAGGTTGGTTTATTTTTTTATTTATTTATTTAATTTTTTTTCTCACCATGGTGATTTGATTTCGTTACCTTTTTTCCAATAAGCACCCCCTTCTCTTCACTAATGAGTGCCCCACCTCAAATATGTTTTTGTTAATAAGTACCCCTATTCTAATAAGCACCTCTGCTACCTTAAACAGCTAGCCTGGCTTCTGAAAATTCTGACTGGGAAAGCAGGAATGCCCATTAAGACATTTGCTTTGGACTTTTTTTCTCCATGTCCCACGTACTTTGCCACCTAGATAATTTACTGGAAATTTTTTGCCCATGGGAAACCACCTACATTTTTTCAAAATTACCTGTGTTATTCAGCCACACAGCCACTGTCACCAAAGATGTTCTTCTGCAGCTGTTCAGCCATTCCATGGAACTTAAAATTTGGGACACAAAAGACAAGGTGTCACCACGTGCACGCTTTGATCGCCCCAAAGCTTTTAGGCTCCCTGCATCCAAGGGCCCTGAAGAATCAGAGAGCTCAAGCAATGGAGGAGTGCAGCAGCTTGTCCTCAGTCAGCAAGAATCATTTGAAAACAATCAGCCTAAGGACTCGCGCATTTTTGCAGGTAATCAAGTCAGCTGAATAAAGTTGAGTTAAAGTATGGCCTCTAATAAGTTTATATAATTTTCACCAGCAGAATTATTGTCAAGACAAATCAACATTACTCATTCTTGTGGATTCTAAGTCTTTACCTTTGCAAGCCACCTTGAGATATGGCATTATTACTCTCTGGGTATTATTGCTGTCACTTATTTGATGTCACCAAGTACCAGCATAAGTATGCTGAAGTACAGCATATTGCGGATACACCTAGCGTCCAAATGCGCAATGTTTGGCCTCACTCTCCCCAAGTTGTTTTCAAAGCTGATCTGCATGACTTCATTCCCATGATACTGGTTGAAACCTCAAACAGCTGAGAAATTTTACCTGACATTTTTGTTCATGATGAACCATATAAAATCTTTGATCTGGATCTGACAAACCAGGTTGAATTTTACCTCTGTTCAGTGGTTTTACCATCTGCCAAGGTACAAAACATTTCTCAAATATGGCTGCTGATTATTAAGTTTCCAGTACTGTTATATTAGGTTATGAGTTTGAATCCAACTAGATGAGTATCTGAGTTTTTTCTGACATAACATGTCTTCATTTGGAAATTAATAATAAGATACATTGTACGTACTCTCTACTTAAACCATAGGCGATGCCAGTACCTCAGAATCTAAGCGACAAAATCAAACAGCTCCACGTCAGAATGGATTTACAGGTGTAGCTTCAGTTACTGATGCTAACCGAGCCATTACTGCACCATCGGTAAGCTGAGCAAACTTGACGTCATAGGTCCTTACCTGTGGTTAAGTAGTTGTTGTGGTACAAAACCACCATATAATTATAGCTGGAGAGCATTAAGGCTCTCTTGGGTCCCAAGGAGTCGCCTAGGGGTGCACTGGGGTGAACAAAGACAAACAAAGGAAAATGCAATTTCAAATGGTGTGAGATCTTTGTTTGTTCTGTCCCAGTGTGTGCCTTTCTCTCCAGCATGGTGGTTTTGGGCGGGAGGGGGGGAGGGAAGGAGGGGTTCTTGGGGTAATTTTTGCTGGGTATGTGCCGCAGGCCTCTCAGAACCCCTACCCCATTACAGTCTATTCTGTGGCCAAAATTTAATATAGACCCTTTCTCGGTCACTTTTGGGAAAATGTAATTTTCATGATCCCTACTTAGTCTAGTCTGCTACACAGCTGTTTTTAGTGTGTCGTCATGCAACGCTCCTCCCACGTTGCGTGACGACACTAAAAAGGGCTGTGTAGGAGACTAAACTTAGTCACTTTCTGTTTATGCATCTGCCTTATAAAGCCTTTTAACTTAAAAATCATTGTGAAGTGAATTTACACATCGATTAAACTTAATGAAGTAAAAATCTTCCTATTTTGAAATCCATTCCTACCTGAATTTTCTGATTCCCCAAATGCAAAAATGTGTGATCCTATTATAAAAACTCTATTGAAAATGCAACCCAATTACAGTCAATCCCAGTCAATCCAGCGGTGAAAATGTGACCCCATCCAGTGGTGCATCCTCATTACCCTTTTAATAGGAAGCACTCCCTCCCCCCCCACCCCCCCCCCGTCCCCCGGATATGGGGGGGAGTTCACATGGAACATAACAAGGACTGGAGGTATCCACATTGGGGAAAATCCGCAGATTGCTGATAAATGATGTCTTAATGTATGGTTAAACGGGGATTGAGAAAATTGAAGTTGTACTACATGAGAGCTAATAATCCTGAGCACACTGTGCGATGAGATATTTCGACTTCGCTATCGTTTCAAATTTACTGCAAGGATTGGGTTACCACTTTGGTTCTTCTTCATCAACAGACGTTTCGTTCTCTCTCTTTAACGACAACTCCATTGACTGCCACTGGCGTTGCCAGCATGGTTAAAGTTCAAGTGCGAGTTGATGACCAAGACACTTCGCAGTTTAGTCGCTTGGCCACTCTCGCTGGTGTGTCTCCGCCAATAACAGAGGCTGATCTACAGCTTGCAGAGCAGCGTCAACTGAGGTCACAATCACGCAAGGAAAAATCACACTCCAAGCCTGAGGCAACGACAAGTGAGTATTGATACTAAGACATTTGGTAGGGAGCTAGTCACCGATCAATAGCTCGCTCCAAGACAAAACCGCCAGCTATACTCAGGCTTAGGCAACTCTGACATGTAACTGGTGCAGAGGGAGAGGTCTTTCTAACCATGCGTCCTTGAAATAAACAAGATCATGTTGAATAGGCCAGCTCTATGAACACTGTAAAAATTATGGTAAATGTCCTCTGACCAGAAAATTCGAATAACAATCTTGTTTCACTATCCACCTACAGTTCCTAAAAAAAATTACTTTTCCCTCTAAAATGAAGCCTGCCAAATGCCTAGTAAAAGAAAACATGAGGGAGGGGAAGCCAATGTAGCAGGGGGCTGCAGAAAAAGCAGAACACCTTGAAATTTTGTTTTCTGTACATGCATGGCTGAACTCGAAGGTTAGTTGGGGCAGCTTTAATGTAATTAATGTGACCAGAACAAAATCTGCATTTTTCAGCAAAACCTCCATGAGAAAAACTAGGCTAACGT